TGTCGCCTCTTTTTCTAGGACTGCGTCGCATTTGCGCGCAGTGGCCTTTTTGCGGCACAATTGCGCGTAACTGCGCCGCAGTGGTCGCAGTCAGAGCCACGTCAAGAATACTGCGCTTACTGCGTCGCAGTTGTGCGCATTTGCGACGCAGTTACCGCATTTGTCTAACTCATCTATTGGACGGTTTTGAATAATAACCGTTAGTGCTAGTAATCGAGTATAAAAGGAGATGCAAAAACCATTCAAGCTCATTTTTTCAGTTTTCAACTACATACCACTTGGTACTACAACGGTAGCCGTCGAGGGGTAAGTGATATCTAACATATGTATGAGTCACCAGTAAGGTGAGTCATCGAAAAAATGAGTCATCCGAAAGATGAGTCATCGTTTTTTAACCAATGAGATTTGAGTTCCTGGTTTTCTCGTTAATATTGTTCGAGATGGTATTTTTTCAGGTACTGAGTAACGGATGATCATTCGCAATGAACTATGGGTAGCTGGGCATCGCTGGTGAGTCACAGGTGAGTCTTTTTTTACGTATTTTGGGTGATTGATAGGTTGGTGGGTGCTGTGAATCATAGTCATGGGCCAGTGAGAAATGAACTATTGATATCGGAAAGCGAAGAATAATGGTAGGTGCGTTTAATTATCGATAAAACCAGGGTCTCTCTAACGATGAGACCATTCTGGCGATATTATTTTGATTGCTATAGGTGTTTTTATTGTAAAAATCGTATGCTTCTCATCATTTAATAAATGAGAGGGGGCAGATCATACTGCACAATAGTTTAGGCGATGTCATCACCAATTATTATTGTAACAGTTGGTGGAAAAGAGGCGAAATAGAGATGAGAGGTAATGCGGCCATTGCGTCGCAGTTCCGGTGCAACTGCGATTTTTTCACCACAGTTGTGCGTAACTACGACTTTTTCGTCGCAACTGCGCGCAGTTGCGACGCAATTTTTCGCAATTACGGGTCACAGTGCGATCGCAGTTGCGGCGCAACTGCGTCGCAATCAGACCGCAATAGCAAACATGGGTGTGCCAGACATCAAATGATTCAATGGCGCAGATATAAAAAGATGACACTGCATCTTTTAAGTATTTCATTTGTCTACTTAGTTTTTAACATCCCCTATGCNTACGACTTTTTCGTCGCAACTGCGCGCAGTTGCGACGCAATTTTTCGCAATTACGGGTCACAGTGCGATCGCAGTTGCGGCGCAACTGCGTCGCAATCAGACCGCAATAGCAAACATGGGTGTGCCAGACATCAAATGATTCAATGGCGCAGATATAAAAAGATGACACTGCATCTTTTAAGTATTTCATTTGTCTACTTAGTTTTTAACATCCCCTATGCCATCAATCCTCTTGCTCAATTGATCAATGGATCACAACCAATAAATGATGCTATACACATCAATGTATTCGGTTATTGGGCTTATGGAACGTGTTTGTTATCACCATACGCTGTGTTAATCTCAGTACCCAATTGTTGGAATAAATTGCGTCATCTATTCTTTTTTCGAAAAAGACTTGTTGCACCACTATTAACCAACAACCCTCGATTTCGTTGAAACATTGATTTAGTTGTTCAGAAGTTGTTGTTGTTGTCTGTGTTGTAGAGTCCATGTTGTCGATAAACAATACTCTAATCAAAAAGGCACTTATCTTTTAAAAGTTCATAACCAAGAGAAAGATCAAAGTGATTGATATGAAGAATGATTTCAAACCTAAATGAAGTTGGATTTATTATCTTTAGCTCTCTCAATCTTCGAATTCCTGTTCAATTTGATTATGACCGAATCGTGCGACTATTACCGAGATATTACCGGATAATTCCTTGATAGCATTCAATAATTGATGTAAATGCACAGAAAATATTTACGATAGAAATTTCTATTGTCACTCATGTTCGGTATTATGTGGCGTTTTAACACATTTAAAGTTTACGCTATGAATTTCTGCCCTTTTATACATATAGTGCTCGGAATGCTTGCGACTTAAACAGTTGGGATCGTTGAATATCTTATTGACGAAACATTTGTGTGAGTTTTATTATGCGTATATGTTTGTGCTGACGTTCTCTTTTCAACGGATGATTGCATTGGAACTATAGTTTTGACGATTATTCTAGTAAAAGTTGTTTCGAATTGATATAGTGCACTTCAGATGCTGGAAGACCATTTCGACTGCTCGTATTGTCTTCAAAATTATCCCCACATTACAATCCTCTATGTCACAATCGGTTGTCATATTATTTTGAGTTAGCAAACCTCTTTCGATCGGCCTGCAAAAACATAAGAAATAAATTATATGAATTGAATGAATATCTTTTCAAACTTTTACACATGTACAAATGTCCAGATTTGTTTTTATGTATACCTCAATAGCAGAAATAGCGAAGGAGGAAATGGCGAATTTTTGGAATCCTAGATCCATACAAATCCGAAGAGAGTTCAAGAAATCTCGGGAGTACGAAATCCGTCATTTGCCCCCTTTTTCAATTCCTTCATTGAATACATTTGAATTGATCGAATATTTTGTGAAAATATGTTTGATTTATCGTGTATCCAACCAAAAATAATCTAAGAAAGCGTTAAGTATGTAATCAGCGCGAAAAATCGTCTCTTTCCTACTTCAGTGTCTTTCTTTCATTTTATATGGAATTCCAGAAAAACAGGACATATTTTATCATGTAAAATAATATATTTGAATTCATTTTTTTGTCGTTTTTATGGCCTCAGGATGATGTTTTAAAATTTATTCAAGAGTACTTCCATATTTATGTGAAGCTGAAATCATGTTTTGATGTAAAAAAAAGAACAAAAGTCATTAAATATAGTTGGAAATATTGATTACGAAATTAGCAATGAATAGAACATCTACCCATACAGAAAGAGCTGCTATTATTATATTGGGACACTAAAGCCGACACCAGGTGACATTGCACTAACGATAGGTGCATCGTACTGGGGAAGAATAGTAGTATTATGAAGTTCGGCTCTTGTCATAGGAATATAAACAGGTTGTCCATTCGGAAGATAAGTGCTTCTTCCTGCTCTATAGCGAAGAGGTTCTGGTCCTATTTGTGGACCGTTTGAACGCATCATACCATTTGGTGGATAACCAAAACCACCCGGACGATTAGGAGGAATCAACATAGGCCCATTGAGATTAGGACCTCCGAATCCATAATTTGGACCGTATTCTGGGTTGCGTGGACGGTGATTATGATGTCTTCGGCGGCTTNACGCATTTCTGAAAGAACTTGATGTGGGAATGGCAAAACGTATGGCAATTAAAAACATCAAACCACGTCTTGTTATTGGTGAAAATGGTGGCAAATGGACGATTCGATCTGAAAGTACACTTCGAACAAAAACAGTGGAATTTCAGCCTGATGTCGAATTTGAAGAAACAACGATGGATGGACGTGAAGTTAAGGTTGCTTTTCATATACAATTCTTTTTCCGCTATTTTGGTTTGTTTGATATTTTCTAGGCAATTGTTCGAATTAAAGGTAATAAAATGGAACATACAATGAAAGGAAAAGATGGAAAAGAATGTGTAGTTGTTCGTTACGTCAATGATCAAGGTCAACAACAAATTGTAAGTGACAGTCTTCTCTTTTTTTACATTTTATAATGTTTGCTTTTCTGTTTTATAAAGGATTTAACATGTGGTTCAACTACAGCTCATCGTTGGTTCAAACGTGCTGATTAATTTACACGAATAAAACGTTGTTTTTTTTTACCCTATTCATATCGTTTTGTGTCGACCTTTTCTTTGAAAGTTGAAATCCTTACACATTTTCTTGTATTATATTAGATCAAATAGTGAAATTAATCAACATGTTAAATTTATCTAACGGTTGAGTACAATAAGAAGAAGCACATGAAGAATAAATAACGAAACTAAGTTCGTCTATACATGTTACAAATAAATATAAGTCATTTCTCAATTATAGACCAAACAAATAGATTTTTTTAGTTCCCTCGACTGATAGGAGGATCATACGAAAAAAAAGTTTGTATGTGTTTGTACCAGCATCAAAGGTCAAAAAAACTTTTTTCCTGAAAATGTATAAAAGATCATTTTGAACTACTCACGAGCGAATTAAAAACAATAATTGTTTGCTATGTCAAACAAATTTCTGTTCTTCCTGAATTTTCTATACTTCCTCGATAGTAGTAACGTGTTAGGATCCTCCTCCAATCCGCAACACAAACTATAATAGTAAATAAGGCGCCAGAATACCATCCTCTTACGAACGGATATGTTTTGTATAGCATTTTAAACTTTTGTGCATAGAACGAGCGTCGTTAACCAATCCATAAACAAATATGATTACACCGTACGTTTAGATAAACATACTAATTACTTTTGTATCTTTGATGTAACAATGCTATCGGTTATGTGTTAGATGAGAAAGGCTTTAGAGCAGCGAGTCGTGAGTGGCACCGACGAGCGACGAGCGTTACTTGTATGTAAGATCGTATACACAGATTATCCATCGGAAAAAAGAGATGTTTAAACAATTAATTATACATTAATTACAACGAACGCGAGAAAAACTTTTTATTAGCAATTTGATACATGACAGATGTCACTATAAAAACAAACGAACAGAAAGAATAGGGATCTTTCGGCTAAAAAATTTTAGACATCTGTAGCCAAAAGTTTTTGACGACACTATGTATATTCGCTCTATTATTTTTTCGCTGAATTGTCGTTTGTTAAAACGATACCGTATCGTCTGTTTTTATTTTACAGAAGGTTTACGAAATTATGAATAAGAAAACGTTACACGTCACTTTTTGAAATGCTGAATCATTGAAATCTTATGATGAATAAATTTTACTCATACGATCGAATATAAAAGTCTCGCCTTTACAATAAATCGAAACAAAATGAAGAAATTGTCCAAACGCCGGCATGATCAAAATCTGACAAAGACTAGATTTGAACATTTCTCAACGGAGATATTCTTCGAGATTTTCGATTATCTAACAGGTAATGAAATCTACAAATCTTTCTTTGGCCTTAATCGTCGATTCAACGAACTGATTTGCAACACAGCGAATATACATTTGAATTTATCGCGCACAACGACAAAATTTCATCGTAAGATTGATCGAATATTCCCTAAAAAAAATATTGCTTCAATCAGTATCTTATATAAAAATGCTCAATTACTTAAAACTCTATTCAATCCGATTGATGGATGCCGCTTAAGATCATTTTCTATTCTAAACGTTCCTCTTTGTGGATTTGAAATGTCGATACCAGAAACGTTGAATACTTTCAAATACCAATTAAATCGTCTCGAAATTGACTTCAGTGATATGTGTTACACTGGAACGGGTGCACGTGCAGCTCAATCATTCGCATATTTATTAACAGAATTACCAGTGTTAAAAAATTTGGCCCTAAACTATCGTGAAGGGATCGATCCAATCACTTACATGTCGTCAGCTGTGATCAACAACACCATTACTAATTTAACGTTGACATTATATGATGCCAATCGTTTAGCACCATTGTTGTATCGATTTGAACAATTAATTATCCTGAACATACACTTTCCTAAAAATATACTTAAGAGGGGATTGATGCGACGGGAAGCTACCGAATATTATCGAAATAGCTTATCAGAGAAAACATCAACTGGATATCCGATGAAAATTCGTCATATTAATATCTATAATTGTTTTATGCTACTGGATAGAGTAGATCAATTATTCAAATTTATTAGTTCACCGAGTTTAGTAACTGTGAATTTATTCAATTGTAAGCTTCCTGTTGCTAGAAGTCCAATGCGCCGACAAGAGCTTCCATTTATCGACGGTACACATTGGCATGATTTATTAGCAAAATATTTCTCATCATCCGTAAAATTAAAATTATTACATATTGAATATCCGTATGTCGGTGCGACAATGTCAGTAACCAGTCTTGCACATGTAAACGAAAAATTAATGAATTACAATCGTTTAGCGTCATCATGGAGCATACATTGTTCATATAATCAAGAGAAAAATCTCTTAGTCTTTGGTTTTCTATCAGCATAGATCAAAAGCAAAAGAACGATCTATGACTCGATTACTTTAAAAACGGATGCAAATAAAACCTCAAAAAAGGATTTCAGTGGCTGAATTGTAGAACTATATTAGGAGTGACACTTTAGCTTTACTTTAAAAAATTAAAGTCAAAGTTGATTTTCAGCAGCAACATTTTGTATTCTCATCATGTAATCAATGCATATAGTTCTCGCTGTTACACTGATAAGACTATTTTTACCAAACACTACGGAGTCAGAATAAACTAATATAAAATGACTATTCAAAATAGAGTTGCAAGGTTTTTCTATCGGTGAAACATTTTCCTTACAACTCAAAAGAAGACCATCGTCACAGGGTGATCGTTTCCCGCGACTGGATTCGTTGAAATTTGGGCCGGTTCCAGTCGAACTCATCAAGTTTCGATCGGATTCGGCCGAACCACAACAACCTAGGTACCTCTTGAGGGTGGGTGAGGGTGAGGGTGTATATTGGTATAAGTGATACTAAGGGTGTGAGGGTATATATGTATAACTCAAACTAAATCTATTCTTATTTCTATTGCAGATAGGGATTGTAGTGTGCTAGGAATTGGTCATTTATATTATAAGTCGAATTAGGCAGCTACCCGAAGCGGTGGTGTTTTTAGTAAACATAGCTAATACTCGGAAACTATTCTCTGACAAATGGGTAATTCATTCGGTTCACGAAAAAAGAAGAATCGTTGTCTTGTATTGATTCTTGTGTGGGACACAATGCCATGATCCAGCTGAGATCCCGTGGTGACCGAAGTGCCCTTTTTGTTTTTCGATGCGCCTGAATATGGTCAGCAGTAGAACAATTCCTTCAGAAAAGGATCGACGAATCCATATGATGGGCGTTATTCGTTTATATTTTTACGCTCGAAAAAAGTGCTTACAATTTCATAATACAAAGTAAAGCAACAAATGGTGGTGTTACATTTATCGATGTAATGGTAGCTGTGTGTGTATGTGGTTGATTATCACCATCTGTCGCTATTGTATGACGATGTTGACAAGTGCCACATTGATTAAAATTCTTAGTATTGATCCATCGCGGAGGACTTGTATTCAACGGAGCTGAAATAAAATCAGTTCTTCGATCTTTTAATGAATCATATACTTACTTGCACTGCAAGGATTACTGTTGTTATCATAATATATTGTGCCAATGTCTTCAATATCTGTGCTACCACCATGTGAATGACTTGGCATTTGTGCAACTATCAGTGTAGTATCGTGTACGGTAACAGTCGGTGTTTGACTTGATGAACCACCAGTTTGTGTTGGTGCATATTGAGCGCCAGTTCCTAGAACAAAAAAGGCTCATACTTCTCTCTCTCTCATTATCATATGTGTATTTACCGGATCCAAGGATGAATCGATCTCGTAAATCAGGCGTACCTTGTGTGCCATCACAAACAGCCCAACCCAAGGGAACAGTTGCGACAGATCCGCTCCTGCATAGATTAACTCATTCAATGAAGATTATACTTATATGAATTACCATAACATGATCATCCCAGGCGGTACTAGAGGATACACTAGAACAATCAATACATGTATCGTGATTCACAAAAATTTAACAGAAAGTATTCACTTGACGTCGATGTTGACGAAGTGCTGGATGTCGTACTACTAGTACTTGTAGTGCTAGTAGTACTTGTCGTAGTTGTTGTAGTCGTTGTTAAGTTTACTGTTTCCACTATGAAAGGTACTCCTACAGCAAGACCAAGGAGCAAACATAGGACAAAACCAATTAGTATAGCTTTTTTTCGCGTGCATATTATAAAATATTCTTCCGGAATATTCGGTAGAGTGTTTAATTCAGCCGTTCGCATATAGTTGATGGTAACTGGTTCTAAGCAGTATATAGATATAGAAATACGATTGTTAACAGAAACCAAGTGTAAGAATACGTACTGTGACCAACGGTGCAGTCCGTCGAGGATATGAATCCTTGTCCGTTTGAGAGAGAGTGAGCATGATGCGATTCCAAGTACAAAATAATTCTGTTGAGAATTTTTCCAGTGTAGGTGAAAGTAAAAGTGCTTTGCGTTTATCTTATAGAGTTGACGAAGCGTTTTTTTTTACCTGTCAAGCTTAGGTTGTTGTAGAGAAGAAAAAACATGAATGGCACTTGAAGGACTTATTCATGTTGTCGGAATTATATGCGCCAACAAAGTAACGAGCAAAACGAAAACAAAGAAAAGGTAGTCAGTAAACAATATACGTGTTTTTTTGGATAAAAGGAATGTTTATTGTTGCAAAAACTCGGAAGAATAGTCCGCAGGAAGACACTAGGGAGAGAAAAGTTTGTGCGCAAAAATAATTTTTAAACACATCTGCATTACTTTTTTTTTTACCGAAAAAGAATATGAATAGTACTGAAAAATGCTTATGTATAGATACTTTTCTGCATTCTCCCGATAAAATAGAAGGATTTGAGGGTGAGTTTTGTTCATAAAGTCCTTGAACAGATTCAAAGACGAGCTTCGAGTTTTGTTAGAGTTGTGAGAGTTGATCATACGCAAAACTTTGTCCCATGAATAAAAGGTCCACCATTCGTTGCAGAATTAAATTTTGAGTTGAATGATGTAATTTTCATGGTCAGGTCTTATTTAGTAAGAAAAAGGTTTTGACCAGCACATCGATGAAAATTATCAAAGGAAAATTGAAATGTATTGAAGTTTTTGTGAATCATTTCGGTCGGTTTAGAAAGTTCAAAATCTACAATATGTCGATGGTTTAAATTTAGACTACACTTATGATCTTCGGATAAAATGCGAAGAAATATAATCAAGTTAGATAAAAACAAAGAAATAATTATTTTTTCTCTTGTACGCTATTATTATTCAGTTGGATAATGCTGATTTTATCAGTGACATTGAAAGCGATTTGATTTTGGTGAATAATAAGTTCGGAAATGTATACGTTGCCTGTGTTGTCGAATGCATAGAGGATCCCACTAGATATGCTATTATTTTCTGATAAAGTAAGAATAACTTGCTGTGGCGATGGATATAGATCAATCTGGGTAGTAAAATTCCAGCTCGATACTTCTAGCCACACCATCAAATAAAAATCACCATCGCGCTTTTGAAAAAGTATTTGTTGAACGTTTTCTACATTACCGTTAAGCGTATAATTGAGTATAGAAGGTTCAAAATTCGGACCTTTATCATTCAGTATACTGATCAGATTTGTTATTGCTCGAAAAGATGGTTTTTCAGATAAATCATTTCGTAATAATCCAAAGGCTCCTTCTTTTCCTGGTATATCTTGATTGACTAATTCATATTTAAACGTACGATAAATACCTCGTCGAAAGAATTCAGCAAATGCACGTGATGCATACTTTCCATCGGCCTCTTCAGACAGACCAGCATTATGTAAATCATCTTGATAGCCAGTTTCAGTGCTTTGTACGCGCTTACCGGAAGGTGATTGTTGACGAGCATATTTATTAAAATAGTACGTTATACTGGGAATTGTACTTTTATTATCCCAGCCTTCATTGCCAGGCCAATAGCCCCATTGATATAAATGAAGATTAACATAATCAATATATGAATCCATATTTCCTACTGCTTCGTATGCTTCTAATGATGTCAACGACGGTCCAATCATTGATAAATTTCTTAACATCTCATCAGTCTGTACTTTCTTGTAGAGAAGAATCGTATAATTTCTTATATTATTCACCCAATCGGTATCAGAGCCATGAAAAACATCATATTCATTAGGTGCTTCCAATGAAACAATGGCACATAATGCTTGACTTTTGATTTCATTTAGTACCACATCAATTTGCGTTGGATCGATAGGTTGTATTCCTGGACCAGATTTACGTCGTTCTGGTATCATATTTGTTTTAATTTCTAAACTATCATATAGGTCTTTTGCTCGTGCATAAGTTGCTGAACTGCTTCCATCACGTATGTATCGAATACCAGATTTAGCTAATTTAGCTTTCAAACCTGTATAGTTTAAAGTGTACACATTAGGAAATGTCCAATGTGTATTTACGCCAATACTTTCAACAAACGAATCAGCAGGAAAAACTGTAAGACTTTGTGCTGTGACCATAAACACAACATTGATGAGGTCTAAAATGAAACAAATTGTGTGCTACATACGTATGTATTTATCATCATTGTATCATAAACGAACTTCTAAAAGATCTGCCTCCTCTACGTCTACATAAACTGTTTAAATCCAAGCTACATTTTCGTTAATTTTTTTCCTTAAAAAGAAAATAATTAGAGTAGTTAACGCGACTACTTCTTAATCATATATATCCACAGTGTTGACTTTCGAAGGAGAAGGAATCTATCACTAGTGTTATTTCGGAAACTGACAACTATTTTGTATGATCACTTTTCAGATACTAGTTTCAAGAATGTAGTTTTCTACTTACTAAAGGTCGAAAACATGAAAGTTACCGATTTCATTCTGACAGTAAATATGATAGAAGTTTTTTAAAGTTATCGTTAAACAATAAGTAGCAACACATGGTAATACTCCTCGATAACTTATCTTTTCTTTTTTGATAACAAGAAGCTTTGAAAAGTAGTTATGACATCAGTCATTTCAAACTAAAATTTGTTGAGAATATGCCTCCGAAGAAACTTACAATGATCATGAAAGTTCAGTAAAGAATTTAGTTCTAGATCCAACACAAGGCGTACAACCAATCAAGACAGGAAATACTTGACTATCAAATAGTGTCACAAATATAAACTTCGCATAGGGGATTCGAAAGATTGAATGGTAACAGATTGACAAAGTCCATATCATTCTCAAATCGCGAACAGCCAGTACTTTGTAAGAAAACTAAAAGTATTAAGTGAAAACGAAAAGAAACTATGCAAAATACAGGCTGCTCTTGTAAAATAGTTTCTACCTCTTAGATTTTCACGTGGTCAAACTCTCGCCAATCAAACCAACACCAACAACAAAGGTTAGCAACGTCGCGTGTCTTCTAGATTTGGTTGAACTTTTTGTGTATAAGTTTGAAGCTGTAAACGTTTATATACACTTTCAAAAGTTTTGTTGTCAAAATATTTACAAGTAAATGTGATTCAAGAGATACTGGGCATATATTTTTCGGACACATGAAAAAACTATACTTAGAAAATATTCGATATTCGGGATAGAATGTCAAATTTCTTTTATAATGCAGAAATTGAGTGTGTAAATATAATATACATGTTTTAGAGATTAGTAATGCTTTACGAAATGAAGTTTTGAGAAATGAAGAGGACTTTGCGTTAAAACAGATTCTGATTAAGATAGTGATGACCCTTTCAAAAGAATACATGAGATATTTTTATATTCTTAGTCATAGTGACTCTTTCAGAATAAAATGCAAACTTGCATATGTAAGCGTCACTATTGATTTACTGTTCTTATAATCGACATGGCTTATTTTAGCTGAGCGTTATTTTTTTCTTCGTTCTATATTGATTCAATGTGCTAAATCGAACTAAAGACTTTCGTGCTACACAATTGACATACAAAATCTGAATATGTGCTTGAACGAAATGCTTTCTGAAAGAAAATCGTACAGACAACATGCTTTTCCACCAATAAAACTAAATTTACTTTGCGCTATCATCATATTTCGCAAACAGGTGTGCATGTTCTCACAAGCATTTTCTTTCTCGGAAAGACAAAAGTTTACACGTCAGCATATGGTTCCTTTTTCGAATTGGTGAGAAACACAATGACACATAATCTCGACCTATAAATAACGCGTGTGCTTTTCAGAAGTAAATCATAACCAAATAATCATTTGATAATACAATGAAGATTATTGCTATTCATCTGTTGATTTGTGCTGTGCTTGTTGCAGCATCCAAACAACATCGCACTGTTGGTATCATCGAAAATGGGATGTTCATCGAGCAGACTATTGCACAATATGACGATCTTCAAGTGATTGAAGTGCCAGAACATGGCAATCGGGCTCATATCGTGGCTTATCTGGATTTTCGCTCGGGTCTTCAACTGATCAAAGATGTGAAACAGCAAAGATGTCAGCTATCCGATATGGAACCAGCGACGAGAGCTGCTCATGCTAAATCAATTTCNACCAGATTTACGTCGTTCTGGTATCATATTTGTTTTAATTTCTAAACTATCATATAGGTCTTTTGCTCGTGCATAAGTTGCTGAACTGCTTCCATCACGTATGTATCGAATACCAGATTTACCTAATTTAGCTTTCAAACCTGTATAGTTTAAAGTGTACACATTAGGAAATGTCCAATGTGTATTTACGCCAATACTTTCAACAAATGAATCAGCAGGAAAAACTGTAAGACTTTGTGCTGTGACCATAAACGCAACATTGATGAGGTCTAAAATGAAACAAATTGTGTGCTACATACGTATGTATTTCTCATAATTGTATCATAAACGAACTTCTAAAAGATCTGCCTCCTCTACGTCTACATAAACTGTTTAAATCCAAGCTACATTTTCGTTTATTATTTTCATTGTAAAGAAAATGATTAGAGTAGTTAACGGGACTAATTCTTAATCATATATATCCACAGTGTTGACTTTCGAAGGAGAAGGAATCGATCACTAGTGTTTTTTCGAAAACTGACAACTATTTTGTATGATTACTTTTCAGATACTAGTTTCAAGAATGTAGTTTTCTACTTACTAAAGGTCGAAAACATGAAGGCTACCGATTTCATTCTGACAGTAAATATGATAGAAGTTTTTTTAAGTTACCGTTAAACAATAAGTAGCAACACATGGTAATTCTCCTCGATAACTTATCTTTTCTTTTTTGATAACAAGAAGCATTGAAAAATAGTTATGACATCAGTCATTTCGAACTTTATTTGTTGAGAATATGCCTCCGAAGAAATTTACAATGATCGTAAAAGTTCAGTAAAGAATTTCGTTCTAGATCCAACACAAGGCGTAGAACCAATCAAGACAAGAAATACTTGACTATCAAATAGTCTCACAGATATAAACTACATATAGGAATTCGAAAAATTGAATGGTAACAGATTGACAACATCCATATCATTCTCAAACCGCGAACAGCCGGTACTTTGTAAGAAAACTAAAGGTATTAAGTGAAAACGAAAAGAAACTACTCTAGTAAAATAGTTTCTACCTCTTAGATTTTCACGTGGTCAAACTCTCGCCAATCAAACCAACACCAATAAGAAAGGTTAGCAACGTCGCCTGCCTTCTAGATTTGGTTGAACTTTCTTTTTGTGTATAGGTTTGAAGCTGTAGACGTTTATATACATTTTTCAAAAGTTTTGTTGTCAAAATATTTAGAAGTAAATGTGATTTAAGAGACGCTGAAGATATATTTTTCAGACACATGAAAAAACTATACTTAGAAAATATTCGATATTCGGGATAGAATGTCAAATTTCTTTTATAAAGCAGAAATTGAGTATGTAAATATAATATACATGTTTTAGAGATTAGTAATGCTTTATGAAATGAAGTTTTGAGAATTGAAGAGGACTTTGCGTTAAAACAGATTCTAATTAAGATAGTGATGATCCTTTCAAAAGAATGCATGAGATATTTTTATATTCTTAGTCAGTGATTCTTTACAATAAAATGCAAACTTGCATATGTAAGTGTCACTATTGATTTACTGTTCTTATCATCGACATGACTTATTTTAGCTGAGCGTTATTTTTTTCTTCGTTTCATATTGATTCAATGTGCTATATCGAACTAAAGATTTTCGTGCTACACAATTGACATACAAAATCTGAATATGTGCTTGAACGAAATGCTTTCTGAAAGAAAATCGTGCAGACAACATGCTTTTGCACTAATAAAACTAAATTCACTTTGCACTATCATCATATTTCGCAAACAGGTATGCATGTTCTCATAAGCATTTTCTTTCTCAGAAAGGCAAAAGTTTACACGTCAGCATATGGTTCCTTTTTCGAATTGGTGATAAACAAAATGACACAATCATCTCGACCTATAAATAACGCGTGTGCTTTTCTGAAGTAAATCATAACCAAATAATCATTTGATAATACAATGAAGATTATTGCTATTCATCTGTTGATTTGTGCTGTGCTTGTTGCAGCATCCAAACAACATCGTACTGTTGGTATCATCGAAAATGGGATGTTCATCGAGCAGACTATTGCACAATATGACGATCTTCAAGTGATTGAAGTGCCAGAACATGGCAATCGGGCTCATATCGTGGCTTATCTGGATTTTCGCTCGGGTCTTCAACTGATCAAAGATGTGAAACAGCAAAGATGTCAGCTATCCGATATGGAACCAGCGACGAGAGCTGCTCATGCTAAATCAATTTCNACTGTTGGTATCATCGAAAATGGGATGTTCATCGAGCAGACTATTGCACAATATGACGATCTTCAAGTGATTGAAGTGCCAGAACATGGCAATCGGGCTCATATCGTGGCTTATCTGGATTTTCGCTCGGGTCTTCAACTGATCAAAGATGTGAAACAGCAAAGATGTCAGCTATCCGATATGGAACCAGCGACGAGAGCTGCTCATGCTAAATCAATTTCCGTGGAATCAAGCGACAATGGTCTTTCAATGCCAAATCTACCAGTTGATGTCAGTGGTGTTGAAGAGACACATATTTTCAAATTAGAACGACAAGAACCCATTCAAAATACATCATATCTTCGATCCGAACTTCAACAAGCCTGCGCTGGTTTATCAATTCATTGGGCTGATTCGGTAAATGAGAATGATTTGGATAGCATGACGCGAACTGGCGAAATATTTTATGATAAACAAGAAAAAATCATCATCCGACCAACAAATCCGGAAGGGCGAGTTAATCGAGGCGCTTCTTGTAATCCGAATCCTACATTAATACCTCCTAATCAATTTAATTGTCACGGCATGTGCTCCAATCAAAAATGTAGAATGACGGGACACTCCTGCTATTATTTTATTATGTGCCCAATGAATGGGAATATTGGACAACAATGCATGCAACATAATCTTCACACCAACGGTGAATGCAAAATGTGCTGTATGGATCCGGCATCGCCTTGCTCGCCACCAACAAATGGTGGGTTTTGGCAACATTGTGATTGCATCAAATGGTAGTTTTCTGTACTTCCGCAAAGGAAAATAATCTTGTTTTAAATATTAAAATCGATCATATCGAAATGAAACTTTGAAATAAAGTATATTGACAAAACTCAAAGATAAATTCAGTAATATTCGTACTACAGCTTTTAAAATCACCAACGATTCTTCGTTGTAAAATATTCGTGTACTATAGACCGCAATGGTTAACAATGACTGATTTCAAGAGAAACACTTTCGTCATTGAACAGGAGATTTTTTGCTTAAACACATTAACAAATATATAATAGAAAATATTATACTGTATAGATATTCTCTATCCACCTTCGGGCGATGGAAGCCTCAAGATGCGCTATTATTAGAATTCTGAAGATTACCCATAAAAGAAATATTTTCCTGACAAATGAAATAACATTTCATTTAAAAGTTTCTCGAATTCTTTTTCAAAAAAAAACAATCGACTTCAATAGCGTTGTGTAGATCTCCAACTCTCCGCACAATGCGACCATTGAAAAAAGAATTTTCTGATCATATGCCTATTTTTCATCAAGAAGTTCAGCATTTCCATATACAGGCGAAAGAAAGTTGGCAAAGATTACATTCGAAAAACTGAAAGTTCAATGGGCAAAGCTTCAAATCAAATGAATGATAGTCCATTTGCCTTCCCCTTGGACACGCCACTACGTGCTATTATATTTGGACTTCATATTACGTTACCCATAAGTATAATGAAGACTTCTACTTAAAACTTCTCGTTTCCCTATCTCTGTCTGTATGTTTTTTCTTAACATGAAATATCAAAGAGCTCATTGTCTTCGTTGTATCCTAGTCCGAACTGAAAATTTATTAATTCAAATAAGCAAAAAACAGCTTAATTAAAAGAAGAAAGAAAGTGATGTGAAAAGGAAAATCGTGAAAGAGTCATAAATCGAGTAAATTGCGGATTGGAACGTTCGATGAGGAGAAAGATGTTGTTGAAATTGAAATTAGAAGAAGGAAACTCCATTGTAAATACTATCGGAAGCAGCTGCAAATCGACTTGCTTTGACTCGCGATGCTTTAGCAGCACGACGAGCGTGGCTTTCATTGATGCTTACAGTACCATAACATGTTGGAACTCGAAGTGAAAGTTTGTCTTTCGAACTTCGCGATTCACCAGCAGCTACTTCGAATTTGGAGCCAACTGCTCGACTTGATCGCACTCTTGTTGAATGACGTGCCAATGGGTAGAATCCATCATCGATATAAAAACTCATTGTAGAAGTCGAAGTAGTTGTTGAATANGCAGCACGACGAGCGTGGCTTTCATTGATGCTTACAGTACCATAACATGTTGGAACTCGAAGTGAAAGTTTGTCTTTCGAACTTCGCGATTCACCAGCAGCTACTTCGAATTTGGAGCCAACTGCTCGACTTGATCGCACTCTTGTTGAATGACGTGCCAATGGGTAGAATCCATCATCGATATAAAAACTCATTGTAGAAGTCGAAGTAGTTGTTGAATAAGGAGAAGTAGTTGAAAACGATGGTGAAACAGTCGACATTTTCGACTGTTTATATATTCTCTCAATAACTCAATTTAAAATTTCAACAAATAAAAACAAACAATTACTTTTTCAACTATGACATCAAATGTTACGAGAAGAAATACAGTCTACTATTGACGCATGAAATTAAATCAATTCAAAGTAAACATACAGACCGTGCAGTGGTTTGCTCTCTGACTTTTTAACAATGGAGTAACCGTATCGAAAAATAACGTTTTACAATGTTAGAAATATATAATTGAAGGACAAATGTCTTCTTATACCGCATTGACGTCAGAGTCAACGCAATTATATCATAACTGACTTTTTCTTGGTGAAAACAAGACAAGTGTCTCTGTTCTCTGTATGTATGTGCTCTATTTATTAATTATGCCACCAATTTTTGAAAGCATCGGCTGGGAACGAGCGTGAGTTCTTGAGAAATATTACAACAAAAAGCATAAAATCCATACTAAATAGTGCGAGTATCAGTGAAAACAGATCCAATTCTCCATCTGGTGCATTCAATTTCGTTCGTGATTTCATAATATCTTCATTTATATTTTCCAATAGCAACGTCCTGGAAAATGAACAACATTTAGTAATTTATCATTCAAATGTTGATACACGATATTCTTTTATTTCTGATCAATCCATATAAAATTCAATATTATATAGACATGAAATCAGACTGATCTTAGTACCCAAAATGATGATTGTTGTTCTTTCACCGATGAAAGTGTTCCAGTCTAGTGTGTTTTTATCAAAGTCATGGACAAACACTTAACCATAATCAGTATAACTAAAGTCAGTGTAACAAGGTAATAAATTATCTATAGTTATATTCTGACAGAAGAAAACAAAGTAAATAAAATAGAGAAGCGAATGTTAAGCTAAAAGAAAGTGATAGAATCATGTGTTTGCTTTATGTCGTAAGGTAATAGTTCTAATACATTTGGCGATGAATGTCGTTGTTATTTTCAAAACGAGTTCCATTAGGTAAGACGGATCCGGTGAAGTCAACAATCTGTTGTAATTCTTCTAAAGAAATGTTTGAATCGCGAAAATTTGAATGTCGAAACGTGGAATTGTCCCAAATGCAGCCTTTGAAAGTAGCATCCTTAAAATCACACCAGTGACACACAATAGAACTGAAATTCACTTGATAAAATTCAGCGTTACGGAAAGTAACATTCCGCAATGTACTGAAACTCAAATCAATGTGAGACAGTTTGGCTTCGACGAATGACGTATATTTGAAATTTGCATTACTAAACGAGCAGTCGTTGAGTACCACTGAGTTCAACGAACATTTATCCAACGTTATTTCTTGTGCACTTACATTCAACCATTTCGATCCCTGAAAATTTGCTGTTTGAAAATAAGTTCCATGAACTACTGTGTCTCTGAATTCTGAAAATGTGAAATCGTCTCCTGACTTATAAGAATAAAAGTCCCTGAAAGAAGCGAAACTCATTTCCATTCTATCGAACACTGCAAAGCTAAATGAACAATCTGAGCATTCGAGATAAGATAAATTGGCCAAGGTTAGATTAACTGAATGAAAATTTCCACCGCAGAAGCCGGCATGATTCAAATTCGCATTGACCAATGAACTTTCGCTGAAGTCTATCGAACACATTCTATCAATACCAAAACATGGGAATAAGCTGCTGTAACTAAAACTGAAGTCAACAGAATCCATGCGAGCGTTCTTAAAATTAGCACAATCTAAGCGAACATGACGAAATGACGCATTGATCAGAGTAACACCAGCTAGATACACATCCATCCAGGAAATAAAATTTTCTCTTGAAAAATCATCTTTGCGAGAATCTCGTGTTGTACCAAGTATGACATCGGTAAGATCGGCACGTTCAAGAAGCAAAACACTTTGATCGGTCGGTTTACTTTGCCTTTCCACAGTAATTAACTTGCTTTCATAAAGAGATCGAAGCAGGAAACTTTTTCTTTTCGGATCTAACTGAGTTAATGTTGTGAGTGTCATAAATCTGCCGACGACCTTCGCTGATGGGACCTTATTTAGAAGTAACCCATTTTCCAGGAGTAATCGAGCATTATGAACACTACCTTGTATTGTCACTGTTTGTTCTCTTCCCTTTCTGTATTGTATTAGACACAGTTGGAGTCTGATACATACGATGTAGTGCACATCTTCTACATTGAAGAACAGCAATAACACTATTCCTCCAATCTGTCTTTGTGATCACAAATAATAAAAAAAAAAGAAATGAAATGCTGTAGCAGACACAAAAATATTATTCCATCGTATCATCTTTTTCGTTACAGAAACAAACACAAGAAACTTCTTCACGTCACAATATTACAGAAAATTACAACAATGTGATGAATTACCTCGACGACATCATCAACATCGAAATCATCGTCATCATCAATAACAGCAGCAGAGAAAAAATTTATTTTTCTACGTTTTATTATACTTTGCTATTCGTTGCTGTCGTGCATTTTTCTTTACTCCTTGTAAACTCATTTTTCAAAATGTAAAACATTTCTTTAAAACAAGGGAGTACGTCAGGGCGACATGATGTCGCCCTGCACACTTATCCCCATTAGTCTTTCTGTCGAATACTAGAAATATTTATTTATAGCTTCTAACTAGGTTTTTCCAAGATTTGTTATAGTGAATGTTCCTACTCCTATGGATGATACTTTAACCATCATGTAAGCCAAAATAGTTGATAAATAATAAGTGCGGAGAAAAAAGTAAGTACTGGCATAATTTTCATTCAAAGTTCAAGCTTATTGTCGTCTTTAATCTTCGGCAGAAAAAGTTCTAATCAACTGAGTGCTTTCAGCATACAAGTATCGTATATTCTTTTCTGAGCTTTGTTCTATATTAAGACCAAGGAGACTTCTTAGAAAGAGATAGATTACCTCTAATTCTGCTTGTCGACTTCAATCTTTTAAAAGAAATAGGTTTTATTGAAGTACGCATTTCTTCGTCATTCTTGTACATCTTCAGCCATGAATAATGCAACTGAAATCTCGGGCGTGGATAGTACACAACGTAGCATAACGATTCCAGTCTTAGTTATATTCGCATTTCCAGCATTCGTTTGTTTCTTATTTATTCTTTATCATACAATCAAATCACCTAGACGATTGGTATTTGACACAATTAATAACCATATTATTTTTCTTATATTAATCTTCGATTTTTTATCACTATCAACTGAAATGCCAATCACATTATATTATCTNGAAGTGAAAGTTTGTCTTTCGAACTTCGCGATTCACCAGCAGCTACTTCGAATTTGGAGCCAACTGCTCGACTTGATCGCACTCTTGTTGAATGACGTGCCAATGGGTAGAATCCATCATCGATATAAAAACTCATTGTAGAAGTCGAAGTAGTTGTTGAATAGAGAGAAGTAGTTGAAAACTATGGTGAAACAGTCAACATTTTCGACTGTTTATATATTCTCTCAATAACTCAATTTAAAATTTCAACAAATAAAAACAAACAATTACTTTTTCAACTATGACATTAAATGTTACGAGAAGAAATGCATTCTACTATTGCCGCATGAAATTAAATCAATTCAAAGTAAACATACAGACCGTGCAGTGGTTTGCTCTCTGACTGTTTAACAATGGAGTAACCGTATCGAAAAATAACGTTTTACAATGTTAGAAAAATATAATTGAAGGGCAAATGTCTTCCTATACCGCATTGACGTCAGAGTCAACGCAATTACCTCATAACTGACTCTTTCTTGGTGAAAACAAGACAAATGTCTCTGTTCTATGTATGTATGTGCTCTATTTATTAATTATGCGACCAATTTTTGAAAGCACCGACTGGAAACGAGCGTGAACTCTTGGAAAATATTACAACAGAAAACATCAAATTCCTACTAAATGGTTCGAGTATCGGTGAGAACAGATCCAATTCTCCATCTGGTGTATTCAATTTCATTCGTGATTTCCTAATATCTTCATTTATATTTTCCGATATCAACGTCATGGAAAACGAACAACATTTAGTAATTCATCATTCAAATGTTGATACACGATATTCTTTGATTTATGATCAATCCATATAAAATTCAATATTATAAAGACATGAAATCAGACTGATCCTGTAGTACCCAAAATGATGATTGTTGATCTTTCACCGACGAAAGTGTTCCAGTCTAGTGTGTTTTTATCAAAGTCATGGAAAAACACTTAACCATAATGAGTATAACTAAAGTCAGTATAACAAGGTAATAAATCATCTATAGCTTATATATTCTGACAGAAGAAAACCAAATAGAGAAGCGAATGTTAAGCTAAAAGAAAGTGATAGAACCCCGCGTTTGCTTTATGTCGTAAGGCAATACTTCTAATACATTTGGCGATGAATGTCGTTGTTATTTTCAGACCGAGTTCCATTAGGTAAGACGGATCCGGTGAAGTCAACAATCTGTTGTAATTGTTCTAAAGAAATATTTGAATCGCGAAAATTTGAATGTCGAAACGTGGAATTGTTCCAAATGCAGCTTTTAAAAGTAGCGCCTTGAAAATCACACCAGTGACACACAATAGAACTGAAATTCACTTGATAAAATTCAGCGTCACGGAAAGTAACATTCCGCAATGTACTCAAACTCAAATCAATGTGAGACAGTTTGGCTTCGACGAATGACGCATATTTAAAATTTGCATTACTAAAAGAGCAGTCGTTGAGTTCCACTGAATTCAACGAACATTCGTCCAACGTTATTTCTTGTGCACTTACATTCAACCATTTCGATTCCTGAAAATTTGCTGTTTGAAAATAAGTTCCATGAACTACTGTGTCTCTGAATTCCGTATATGTGAAATCGTCTCCTGACTTATGAGAATAAAAGTCCCTGAAAGAAGCGAAACTCATTTCCATTCTATCGAACACTGCAGAGTTAAATGAACAATCGATACATTCGAGATGAGATAGATTGGCCAAGGTTAGATTAACCGAATGAAAATGTCCTCCACAGAAGCCGGTATGATTCAAATTCGCATTGACCAATGAACTTCCGCTGAAGTCTATCGAACACATTCTATCAATACTAAAACATGGGAATAAGCTGTTGAAACTAAAACTGAAGTCAATAGAATCCATGCGAGCGTTCTTAAAATTAGCGCAATCTAAGCGAACATGACGAAATGACGCATTGATCAGAGTAACACCAGCTAGATTCACATCCATCCAGGAAATATAATTTTCTCTTGAAAAATCATCTTTGCGAGAATCTCGTGTTGTACCAAGTATGACATCGGTAAGATCGGCACGTTCAAGAAGCAAAACACTTTGATCGGTCGGTTTATTTTGGCTTTCCACAGTAATTAACTTGCTTTCATAAAGAGATCGAAGCAGGAAACTTTTTCTTTTCGGATCTAACTGAGTTAATGTTGTGAGTGTCATAAATCTTCCAACGACCTTCGCTGATGGAACCTTATTTAGAAGTAACCCATTTTCCAGGAGTAATAGAGCATTATGAACATTACTTTGTAGTGTCACTGTTTGTTCTCTTCTCTTTCTGTGTTGTATTAGACACAGTTGGAGTCTGAAACATACGATGTAGTGCACATCTTCTACATTGAAGAATAGCGATAACACTACTCCTCCAATCTGTCTTTGTGATCACAATTCACAACTAATAAAAAAAGAAATGAAATGCTGTAGCAGACACAAAAATATTATTCCATCGTATCATCTTTTCCGTTACAGAAACAAACATAAGAAACTTCTTCACGTCACAACATTACAAAAAATTACAACAATGTGTTGAATTACCTCGATGACATCGAAATCATCTTCATTATCAATCACAACAGCAGAGAAAAATTTCGTTTTCCTATTTGTTGTTGTCGTGCATTTTTCTTTACTCCTTGTAAACTCCTTTTTCAAAATGTAAAACATTTCCTTAAAACAAGGGAGTACGTCAGGGCGACATGATGTCGCCCTGCACACTCATCGCCATTAGTCTTTCTGTCGAACGCTAGAAGTATTTATCTATAGCTTCTAACTAGGTTTTTCCAGGATTTGTTATAGTGAATTTTCCTACTCCTGCGGATGATACTTTAGCCATCATGTAAGCCAAAATAGTTCATAAATAATAAATGCGGAGAAAAAAGTAAGTACTTGCATAATTTTCATTCAAAGTTCAAGCTTATTGTCGCCTTCAGTCTTCGCAGAAAAAATTCTATTCAGCTGAGTGCACTCGCAGCGGACAAGCGTCGTATATTCTTTTGTGAGTTTTGCTCTATATTAAGACCAATGGGGCTTCTTGGAAAGAGATAGATTACCTCTAATTCTGCTTGTAGACTTCAGTCTTTTAAAAGAAATAGCTTTTATTGAGATACGCATTTCTTCGTTGTTCTTGTGCGTCTTCAACCATGGATAATGCAACTGAAATCTCGGGTGTGGATAGTACACAACGTAGCATAACGATCCCAGTCTTAGTTATATTCGCATTTCCAGCATTCGTTTGTTTCTTATTTATTCTTTATCATACAATCAAATCACCTAGACGATTGGTATTTGACACAATTAATAACCATATTATTTTTCTTATATTAATCTTCGATTTTTTATCACTATCAACTGAAATGCCAATCACATTATATTATCTNGAAATCTCGGGTGTGGATAGTACACAACGTAGCATAACGATCCCAGTCTTAGTTATATTCGCATTTCCAGCATTCGTTTGTTTCTTATTTATTCTTTATCATACAATCAAATCACCTAGACGATTGGTATTTGACACAATTAATAACCATATTATTTTTCTTATATTAATCTTCGATTTTTTATCACTATCAACTGAAATGCCAATCACATTATATTATCTCGCACATGGAAATGTACATACAGTGAAAATCTGTCTTTTCTGGAATTTTTGGAATTATACTCTTCATGTGGTATCTTTAATTCTAACGGAGTATGCTTCAATTGAGCGTTACTTTTTAGTATTTCATCGACATGCAGTTCTAAAACATAAAGTTCTTTTTCATTACATTCCAATGTTATGTTTGACAATCTATATTTCACTATGGTATTTTTATTTAGTTTTCTTTTTACCATGTCCAAAAAACAGATTACTCGATATCACTGTATTTACATGTGGTATGCCATGTTTTTTTGGTTATGCATCGATAACTGCTTATGATGCAATTGCTAATTTGATGTTGCCCTCTTTGGTTATACTCATATTTAATGCATTAATGGTTGTACGTGTGATTACAAGCAGAACCGTAGCATTAGGACCTATTCCAGTACGAGAAACATTAAAAAAGAATCGTCGAATGATTTTACAATTGCTCGGCATCAGTTTGTTGAGTTTAATAATGTGGTTACCTTGGATAGTGATTCTAATTGGAAAAGATTTTTTTGATCCATCATTCGGTAATTGATTCATAACATATATTCTTTATTATGTACCATATATCACAGCATCTCTATCGCCATTTTTTGGATTGATTGGTTTACCAGAAATCAGGAAAAAATTCAAAATCACAGCGTTACAAACAGCAATTATACCAACCTGATTTTCCGGTAAATACTTAGCCGATATTTCAATACATGTAAAGGGACCATCTTTGAATGTTGTCGAATATCTGCTTTTATCGTTTAAACGAAATTTGTGCGTAAAAAATCAAATAATAAATTAAATCATTCACGTCTCAACAATGACTACTTAATCGTAGAAATTACGATCTCTCGACCAAAGTAGACAGTTGTAGGAAAATCACTGAATTTGAATGACAAATGATATTGTCCCCCTGGCCTAAAATAATATCATACTGTATTTGCAATATATCATCGCTGTAAACTAACATTTTAATAAAGGTAATTATATATTCTGATAGCCCATGAAGTTCTCTACAACTTCAAATATTTACATTTTGAATTGCACTTTTTCTTTAAAAAGAATTTAGAGTACATTGAAGACAAGACACCCTCATCCAAATTCTTCTATTCCTATTGTCGTTCGATTCTTCAACNTGGCCTAAAATAATATCATACTGTATTTGCAATATATCATCGCTGTAAACTAACATTTTAATAAAGGTAATTATATATTCTGATAGCCCATGAAGTTCTCTACAACTTCAAATATTTACATTTTGAATTGCACTTTTTCTTTAAAAAGAATTTAGAGTACATTGAAGACAAGACACCCTCATCCAAATTCTTCTATTCCTATTGTCGTTCGATTCTTCAACCGACTTTTGTATTTTTGCACTCAAGCTGCATATGAAATATCCATCCGAGCGATCCGGTTCTCTTGCATCGGCTTTTGAGATGAAGAGTATACTATATAAACTGTTGATTTCTGTTAAAGGTCAGATTTTTCTGAAACTCAAAAACATGGCATGAGTCAACATTGGCACTTACACACAACAATGGTTCATCGTTTGTTGTAAATTTCTAATTCGAGCTATTTGAACAGTGCATAAAGTCGCACCTTTCCTTATCTGTTGTATGGATTTGTTTTTCAATGGAAGCTAATGCATTGGTATCCAATACTGCGTATATATCCGCAACGGACGAGTTAATTCCTATGGATGAATTGTTTATCAATAACTTCTACTCTACTTCCACGACGACTACCATTTGGACTTCTACCGTAGACACGAATGCCACAAACACCTCAGTGACAATCAGTATATTTCCGTGACTGAATTTAGGTCCTCGGGTTTGAAATTCTCAAAGTAGCTGCACAATTAGTTCAATCTCATCCGATAAAATCGATTTTCGTTTCTAACGCGTACATTCGACCGACAATACTTGTGATTTCGAAAAACAGCAGATGGTATCTGTTTGTATTGGTGTAAAATACTCGACTAAAGCTTATTAAGCCGAAAAAAATGATAATTCTTCATTAAATAATGTTATTACCAATGTTATCCATCAGTCTTAAGAATGAGAGCGCCCTGTCGGACCGTTTACTCTGAATTTTCATCTGAACAAACCCCATCGGGACTCTATCCTCAAAATTTCCAACTAAATCTAATTATCACTGAGTAATTTTTCGTGGATATCTAATGACGACTATAACTTCGTTGATTGGTAATCATACGCAGAAAGACAACTATCCATGATGAATCATCTAGATGAGTAATAAAACGTGCGTATAAAAAGAGTGTACAGTTAAAAACATCTGTAAAGGAAAAAACCAATCACATATACGTGTAAACTTGTTCTACTCTCGTGTTCAGATCGGTTAATTATGTTGACTAGCGAACCGACACATCATCGGATCATTTACGATCGCATACGATTGAAAACTGTATGGTATATGGTTAAATTCAAATAAGAATCATTCAGAAGCTATTCTTACTGAACTTCAACGTGTTACAACTGCGTCCGACATTTTACGGATATAGATGCTTGTATCGATTATCTTACAGCTTTCGAAGATGAAAAAAATATTTTTAATTATCTCCGATGATTTCGTTCAACAAACTGTCATGTCTGTTAGTGAAGCATCACAAATCAATTCAGTATACATTATTAGTAACGATACAACACAAGACCTGAACTGGAAAGAACAATGTGGAAAAATCAAAGGAACTTCCGATACAGTTGAAAATATAGTTCATATACTTAAACATGATATTTATTTAGCAGAAGGAGATTTATCACCATTGACAACGATTTCTTCCACATCAATAACCGATCTGAATGAATTAGACTAATCGTTTATTCCCTCGACTGAAAGGAGGGTCATACGAAAAAAAAATAGTTTGTATGTTTGTCTGTTTGTGTCAGGGTCAGAGGTCAAAGGCCAAGAAAACATTTTCTTGAAAAAGGCTCAAAACTTCATAAAACATGGTTTTGGAAGGGTGTTGAGGTTAGATCTTGGTCGAGGGGAGGTGAGGGTCGGGGTCGAAGGTCAAAAAAACATTTTTTTCGAAAATGCTCACAACTTCATGAAACACCGTTTGGGAGGAATCCTGAGGCTTGAGGTTGGCTGGATGACGGGTGAAGGGGCAGGGATGTGACAGAAATGAAGAAAACATTTCAACCGCGCCTGAGAGAAGGGCTACATAGAAGAGTTGATTACAAAAAAGTAAAAACCAGAGACCGACAGTATGCGGTATTAGATGGCTATACCGCACTCCCGTGCCATAGTCAGAAGAAGCCTTCTAACAATGATTTTCGAGGATATGTATCATAGTTTTTTCATTCGCGTTTCAATCTTGACAGGAAGTCAATAAAACTAAACATTTCTCCCTCTTTTATTCTCATATTTTATATTTCTTGTTCTGTTATCAAAAACGAACGAAAATTAATTCGATCCTAATACATCAGATTACGATGTCAGTGAACTATCATCATTGTCGTATATTTACAACCAATTGATACCAGTAAATGCTGTAAGAGAAAGTTTATCATCACCAACCTTTTGCTTTTTCTCGTTAATGATATTGTTTAATGAAAAGCACAGATAAGTAACTCATCGACTCTTTTACTGAAACCAAGCTAAGGTACGTCTTGACTGTCGTCAAATCNGAAATTACGATCTCTCGACCAAAGCAGACAGTTGTAGGAAAATCACTGAATTTGAATGACAAATGATTATTGTCCCCCTGGCCTAAAATAATATCATACTGTATTTGCAATATATCATCGCTGTAAACTAACATTTTAATAAAGGTAATTATATATTCTGATAGCCCATGAAGTTCTCTACAACTTCAAATATTTACATCTTGAACTGCACTTTTTGTTTAAAAAGAATTTAGAGTACATTGAAGACAAGACACTCTCACCCACATTCTTCTATTCCTATTGTCCTTCGATTCTTCAATCGACTTTTGTATTTTTGCACTCAAGCTGCATATGAAATATCCATCCGAGCGATCCAGTTCTCTTGCATCGCCTTTTGAGATGAAGAGTATACTATATAAAGTGTTGATTTTTGTTAAAGGTCAGATTTTTCCGAAATTCAAAAACATGGCAGGAGTCAACATTGGCACTTACACACAACAATGGTTCATCGTTTGTTGTAAATTTCTAATTCGAGCTATTTGAACAGTGCATTAAGTCGCACCTTTCCTTATCTGTTGTGTAGATTTGTTTTTCAATGGAAGTTAATGCATTGGTATCCATGAATACTGCGTATATATCCGCAACGGACGAGTTAATTCCTATGGATGAATTGTTTATTAATAACTTCTAGTCTACTTCCACAACGACTACGATTTGGACTTCTACCGTAGACACGAATGCCACAAACACCTCAGTGACAATCAGTATATTTCCGTGACTGAATTTAGGTCCTCGGGTTTGAAATTCTCAAAGTAGCTCCACAATTAGTTCAATCTCATCCGATACAATTGATTTTCGTTTCTAACGCGTACGTTCGGCCGACAATACTTGTGATTTCGAAAACAGCAGATGGTATCTCTTGTATTGATGTAAAATAGTCGACTAAAGCTTATTCAGCCGAAAAAAATGCTAATTCTTCATTAAATAATGTTATTACCAATGTTATCCATCAGTCTTAAGAATGAGAGCGCCCTGTCGGATCGTTTACTCCTAATTTTCATCTGAACAAACCCCATCAGGACTCCTATCCTCAAAATTTCCAACTAAATCTAATTATCACTGAGTAATTTTTCGTGGATATCTAATGACGACTATAACTTCGTTGATTGGTAATCATACACAGAAAGACAACTATCCACGATGAATCATCTAGATGAGTAATAAAACGTGCGTATAAAAAGAGTGTACAGTTAACGTGTAAACTTGTTCTAGTCTCATGTTCAGATCGGTTAATGATGTTGGCAAGCGAACCGACACATCATCGGATCATTTACGATCGCATACGATTGAAAACTGTATGGTAATATGGTTAAATTCAAATAAGAATCATTCAGAAGATATTCTTACTGAACTTCGGCGTGCTAACAACTGCGTCCGACATTTTACGGATATAGATGCTCGTATCGATTATCTTACAGCTTTCGAAGATGAAAAAAATATTTTTAATTATCTCTGATGATTTTGTTCAACAAATTGTCATGTCTGTTAGTGAAGCATCACAAATCAATTCAGTATATATTATTAGTAACGATATAACACAAGAGCTGAACTGGAAAGAACAATGTGGAAAAATCAAAGGAACTTCCGATACTGTTGAGAATATATTTCATATACTTAAACATGATATTTATTTAGCAGAAAGAGATTTATCACCATTGACTACGATTTCTTCCACATCAATAACCGATCTGAATGAATTAGACTAATCATTTATGTATTCACAATATAAAATATGATGAAGAATCGAGAAAAGATTTTATTCAGCTAAGTCGTATTCAAAATAACACAAATAAAGCGACAATGAAAACAATTGATAGAAATATAAAATTGATTCAGTTATTACATGGTATACGAAAGAACCATTTGTATATTTGGTACTTAACAAAGCTTTAAGAACACAAGATTTACATACACAAATTGAAAAGATGCATTCACAAAATGCTCCGAGACAACCATTTACTGTGTATCGAGGACAGGGATTATTCAATAAGGTTTTTGAGTGGCTAATGCAACGAAAACATGGTCTTTTATCTGCTAATCATTTTTTATCTACAAATTTTGATAAAGATTTATCTCGAGCTTTTGCTCAAAGTTCCGCAGATGATCCAAATAAAACACGTGTATTCTTTCAAATCAGAATTCGTCCGTCAATCTTTTCAATACCATTTACTTCCGTAGCCGAGATTGGTCATTTTGGTGATATCGAACAAGAAATTCTCTTTTCAATGCACACTGTTTTTCGAATCACGAAAATGACACAAATGTCACACCGAGTTTGGCAAATCGACCTGAAATTAACAAATGACAATGATCCGCAACTGACTCAATTAACTAATTACCTTCAAAATGATCTTGAAGATGGGACTGGGTGGTACCGAATGGGTTCATTGATGTACAAGATGTGTCAGTATCATCGAGCCGCAGATATTTACGAAACATTACATTGCTTCATTTGACACTGAGCATTCCGAGAAGCAACTCACATCATTATTTCTGCCATGTACTAATTTGACTATAACACATCGCTCCATGTGAAATTATCGAACTGCATTCTCTTATTATAAAGATATGCTTCAACTTAATCAAGAACTTTACCCTTCCGATCATTCTCAATGTGCAGTAACATTCAACAATGTGGCTCTTGTACATCACGCTTTCAGACATATGTTAGTCTATCGATCTTTGCTTCAGTTGATCAGTATGCTAATAAACGATGTAAATCATCACTTTTTACAAATTTGTTTTTCACATTAAGAATATATGTTTACNGCATTCTCTTATTATGTAGATATGCTTCAACTTAATCAAGAACTTTACCCTTCCGATCATTCTCAATGTGCAGTAACATTCAACAATGTGGCTCTTGTACATCACGCTTTCAGACATATGTTAGTCTATCGATCTTTGCTTCAGCTGATCAGTATGCTAATAAACGATGTAAATCATCACTTTTTACAAATTTGTTTTTCACATTAAGAATATATGTTTACCTTCTTATCCTGCATTTCGTCATAATCGACAATCAATTCAAATATCGTTTTTACTTGACTTAATATCAACTCGTGATGTCATTAGACAATCGTTGGGTCGATAATATCCTTTCGTCCATTGGCCTTCTCGGTCCGTGTCTTAGTTTTTATGTTGACGTCTGACGGAGCTGATATTTGAATTTCTTATCGCACAATTATTTATCACCCATTCTGTACATAGTGACATGAAATAATAATTAACACAATGCAAAGATACATTTAATCATTAATTGCTGGAATGATTCATCGTTGAATCTCAACGCTCCGGGCAATTATTAGTGGCTTGGTAGTAAAATCTCTGTGCTCAGGAATACATATATTATAAAGATGTGGATTCCACTATAAGAACTTCGAAGACTTGTTTGAAAAGTGTTGCTCAACTTTTTACATTCTTAAGTTCTCGAACAATTCGCCTATTCTTACTGACATCTATTGTTTTCTCTTTTCTTATAATATTCAATGATTCATGAAATAAAAATTTCATCGGAAGACAAATAAGTATTTTTGTTAAACATGACTGACAAACGTGGAACAAACTCAAATAAAACTTTCAATTCCAAAAGAAAGAAATTAGAAAGTAAATCTTCATTTAAATTGATCTCATTTATTAGCCAATATTTCAGAAACAAAGGACAAAACATCGTTTGAGAATTTGTCAAATGAAATTCTCTATGAAATTCTCGACTATATTGATGGTTATACAATATATAAAGCATTTTCAAATTTAAATATTCGTTTTCAAACACTGATCAATTCTCCGATACTCCGTCTCAAAATCTCATTGGATAAACTATCGCAGACGAAATTTTATGTTTATCGAAATCAAGTTATTCTTCCTAATAAACATCGAATTATTTCACTTCATTTACAAAATTTCAACATCGTAGAAACATTTTTTCAATCTTGTTACATCGATTCCTCGTACGATCGTCTTGAATCACTTGAACTTTTTGAGATTTCATCATCAAGATGTCTTTCGATTCTTCCTATTTTACAATTATTACCTCGTCTCGCGAAATTAGCCATGGAATTTGCCGACTCGAACTATATGTATCTTGGTGATATATATTCAACTATTTTACGTTTACGGTCTTTGAAATATTTCTTTATCTCATCTGATACATATCGACTAAATACTTTGGCACCTTTTCTTAACAATGAAGCGTTTTCTAAGATTGAAACGTTAATCATAGATCATTATTGCACCATCGATGGACTTATTTCTATTCTTCATTATACTAGACGATTAAAATGATTAACTTGTTTCCATCTGTTCGAATCAACACCGGATGAAGGCAAAAATGCAATGTCAATAGATGTACCTTACTTGATGTATGTTGATATCGCTGAATGCTGTATTAGATTCGACAGTTTAGAAATTCTTCTAAAACAAATCGGCTCTCAATTAAAATCGTTAGACATTTGGAATTATTCGTATTTATATCATCATAATTATCCCAATCAATGGGAAAAATTAATTTCACAACATATGCCACATTTACGCACGTGTAACGTCCATTGGCCAATGATTATCTACAGTGATCTTGNCTTGATGTATGTTGATATCGCTGAATGCTGTATTAGATTCGATAGTTTACAAATTCTTCTAAAACAAATCGGCTCTCAATTAAAATCGTTAGACATTTGGAATTATTCGTATTTATATCATCATAATTATCCCAATCAATGGGAAAAATTAATTTCACAACATATGCCACATTTACGCACGTGTAACGTCCATTGGCCAATGATTATCTACAGTGATCTTGGCGATCTTCGTTCATGTACGTTTGTTCATCAGTTTAATTCACCGTTTTGGCTCGAACATAACTGGAATATCGCGATTGAAATTGAATTCCAAAGAGCCTTTTATCGAATTAGTCCAAAGAAAAATTTTGACAGATTAGATAATGAAAGTTTGAATATTATTACACATCCACATGAAAACCATAATTATCATTGGATAAACTCAATGATTAGTGTCAATCACCAAACTACCAACGATTTGTCTTCAAAAGCTTCTTCCTCTGTTAAATTATTAATAATCAATGAACAGAAACTCACATTGTCTCGATCGATAGTCAGCGATCTATTTCCTGTTTTAAATGCGATACATATACGAAGTTTACACCTTATTTGGTCCAATTTATTGATTAGTGAGTTTGTCGAACTTCTAAATCATTTACCAAATCTGAATTCGTTGGCATGGTTTTCCTCACTCAATGTTGTTTCGAGTTCTTTATCTACAAACGATGAGGAAAATCTTCGCTTATTTTCGATCAGTAACACTATTACACAAGTGTCATTACAAATCAATTTTGAACAAATACAATTTCTTATTAGACTTTGTCCTCGAATGGAAAAACTTGAAGTACATGGTGTAAAAAATAACGATCTTGGAAAATTCCTACGCTTTATTTTGATGGAAACGAGAACAAGTCTTCTTCATCTTCATTTACTGTATCTTACTATCATTGACATCAATGATGAAACAGTTCACAATCTACAAACATTGATCTATTCGGAAGATTTACTTTCGAATTATACCATCAAATACCGAGGCAATCATGTTGCTTTGGAACGGAAAATTCAATGATTTTCATGTTTTGTACTGTAACTGACTTTCTCCTGTACGCAATCTTAAATGAAGCAATATATTCCAATTGTCGAAGACACGTTGAATTGTATCCAGTGAAAGCACCTAGGCCGCACAATCTATATCATCAAAGAGTGGTATTTCAAATAAGTGTCTACTTATGAGAATTCTCATAAAAGTTCTTTGATGTTTTTTCTTCAGTGAACGTAAGTACTCAATTAAGCAATGCACAGAGATGTCCGAAGATTTGCTCTTCTCAGGAACGATAAAGAAACAATGCTTTTTATGTCATACTGGTACACATAAATCCGTCAATATGCAATGGAATGAATACTTTTCAGTTCGGTTCTTAACTTTTTGCTTAGCACAAACTAATATAAAGCATGTGATGTCAATACACGAAGCAAAGCATCAAGGTGAAAACGATGTCCAAGAGGAAATATCATTTTTGAAGATATTGACGTCTCCAGAAAACGAAAGGCTCAAATATCATTGATATGCTTGACGTCGCCATTTCTTCAAAGAAGTTTTGAAAGTTTTCATATAAAGCTCTGAAGGTGCCACAAAGATCAGAAAGACAAGAATTGATGGCATAAACGATATAAAATAAGCACTTAGATATAACCATAAGTATTCCGATGTGTTCACACAACCAGAAAGTAATGAAATCGCTAAACGTGGGATTGATAAACAAAGTAAGATAACTGGACTGATGATCAATTGTTTATGTTCTTTGAATTGTGTACGGATATGTACTTTGACACTTTGATGGTTCTGTGCTTTGGATCGTTGTCGCGCAACTCCAAAAATAATGAACAGAGCTGAGAAAAGATTAGCAACAAATGGACCAACAAGGTGAACAAACAGAATAGTTGTATTGTAATTTTGAATAGAACGAGAATAACTGGTGACACACCAAACATATCGTCTTGTTTTGACCACTTCTGTTTCATTTTTTGAAATCTCGTATGAGAATACATTTCGGTAGATGAATTCGTGTAGAAGAGTAAACAGAACACAAACTGGTAAAATGCAAATGATCCATCTCGCAGCAGTTCTACTCGTCTGTTTATTGAATTTAACTCCTTTGTAAACATGAAATGCTCGTTCAATAGCCACACAAGCATTCAGCCAACCATCAAAATAGAGAAGTAGCTTGAGAAAAGGCTCGATTACTTTACAGNAATTATTCGTATTTATATCATCATAATTATCCCAATCAATGGGAAAAATTAATTTCACAACATATGCCACATTTACGCACGTGTAACGTCCATTGGCCAATGATTATCTACAGTGATCTTGACGATCTTCGTTCATATACGTTTGTTCATCAATTTAATTCACCGTTTTGGCTCGAACATAACTGGAATATCGCGATTGAAATTGAATTTCAAAGAGCCTTTTATCGAATTAGTCCAAAGAAAAACTTTCACAGATTAAATAATGAAAGTTTGAATATTATTACACATCCACATGAAAACCATAATTATCATTGGATAAACTCGATGATTAGTGTCGATCAACAAACTACCAACGATTTGTCTTCAAAAGTTTCTTCCTCTGTTAAATTATTAATAATCAATGAACAGAAACTCACGTTGTCTCGATCGATAGTCAGCGATCTATTTCCTGTTTTAAATGCGATACATATACGAAGTTTACACCTGATTTGGTCGAATTTATTGATTAGTGATTTTGTCGAACTTCTAAATCATTTACCAAATCTGAATTCGTTGGCATGGTTTTCTTCACTCAATGTTGTTTCGAGTTCTTTATCTACAAACGACGAGGAAAATCTTCGATTATTTTCGATCAGTAACACTATTACACAAGTGTCGTTACAAATCAATTTTGAACAAATACAATTTCTTATTAGACTTTGCCCTCGGATGGAAAAACTTGAAGTACATGGCGTAAAAAATGATGATCTCGGAAAACTCCTACGCTTTATTTTAATGGAAACGAGAACAAGTCTTCTTCATCTTCATTTACTGTATCTTACTATCATTGACATCAATGATGAAATAGTTCACAATTTACAAACATTGATCGATTCCGAAGATTTACTTTCGGATTATACCATCAAATATCGAGGCAATCATGTTGCTTTGGAACGGAAAATTCAATGATTTTCATATTTTGTACTGTAACTGACTTTCTCCTGTACGCGGTCTTAAATGAAGCAGTATATTCCAATTCTAGAATTCACGTTGAATTATATCCAGTGAAAGCGCCTAGGCCGCATAATCTATATCATCAAAGAGCGGTATTTCAAATAAGTGTCTACTGATGAGAATTTTCATAAAAGTTCTTTGATGTTTTTTCTTCAGTGAACGTAAGTACTCAATTAAGAACTGCACAGAGATATTCGAAGATTTGCTCTTCTCAGGAACGATAAAGAAACAATGCTTTTTATGTCATACTGGTACACATAAATCGTCAATATACAATGGGATGAATACTTTTCAGTTCCGTTCTTAACTTTTTGCTTAGCACAAACTAATATAAAGCATGTGATGTCAATACACGAAGCAAAGCATCAAGGTGAAAACGATGTCGAAGAGGAAATATCATTGATGTGCTTGACGTCGCCATTGCTTCAAAGAAGTTTTGAAAGTTTTCATATAAAGCTCTGAAGGTGCCACAAAGATCAGAAAGATAAGAATTGATGGCATAAACGATATAAAATAAGCACTTAGATATAGCCATAAATACTCCGACGTGGGTAAAGGAGCAAAATCTTATGAATGGGATCGATAGAGCTTATCGTATTGTATCTGGAAGGATTGTTGAAATGGCAGTGGAAAGTGAAGAAATGAATCCGTTCGTGTTTTCCTCTAATTTTCATGTTTTTCAATATTTTTTTTTGTAATTTGTTGCATATTTTATGAACACGGAAGAATATTTCCGGACATACTTTTTTGGAATAGATGTAGATCATCAAGTTCTACTTGGAACAAATGAAAACAGAGTTGTAATGCACTCCTGTGTGAATCCGTTCAAGAAAAGGTCGAATCAGTGTCCAAGATATCCTACATACTTGTCTTTGATTAATTCATCGTTCAACAGAACCGAGAATAAATTCTTTTATGTAGATATGAAAATATTTCACATATTACATAATCTTCATAGAGGAGAATTCTGTATGTGAATTTAAAAAAGTATTTCAGATATATTATTTGTTCCAATTCAGAAGTATTTTTCTATATCGAAATCTTAAGTAATACTCTTCGTACCAACGAATTTCATAGATCAAAATCATTCCGACGCGCATTCTTATATTTTCCTCTAATACTTTCTGTAGTCGATCGTGATATTTTGTGATATCGACTCTGCAATTTGTTTTCTGAATAAATAGAATATGAAAATATTATTATGATCAATAACAAAATAAATCTGTTATCTCTTCACTTCTTTTTGAAAAACATCACTTTTTCTATCATAGCATAAAAATATTAAGAAAAGAAAACTAAGGAGAATCAATATTGGGATGGCGTATGAGAACAATTCGATTAGGGCTCTTCTCACAAATAAAATTGTTTTAATAATATGTGTAATAGGTTCTTTATTTGAGAAATTCAAATTTATCATAATATACTGACCAATGAAAAGTAATGCGCATGTAACTCTAGATTTTAATATTCTGTATATAACTCGTCAACGCCGTCTTCATTCTTCGGATACGAAAATGTTACTTAAAATTAATTGAAGATTATGTATTTTTATCGAGAATAAAAAAAGATAGGAAATGTTACAAAGTGGAAATAGTTGTTTATGTTATACGCTTTTTCGCTTTGCTTCCTGATGGTTGAATAACTTTGACTTGCGTATTAACATTCTTTCCTTGGGAATTCATCCACGACGTTACTTTTGATGTCGATGACTCAGCACTTTTAAATTCTTTCTTTTGAATATCTAAAAATTGTTGATTGTCAACTTCTGGTGGATTTTGTTTTGCTTCAAGTCCTTTTAGAATAACGAAAGTATGACATAGCTGAATTGCTTCATCTAAGTCAAATGTATTAATATCTGCATCGGTAATATGATCAGTCCATAAATCTTTTCTTTCCAGATAACATTGTAATGGTACTTCCGTATCTACATTAACATTCGAAAGAACACGAACCATCATTCGTTTTAGTATACCAATCCAACAATCAATATTCGCGAGAGATATAGCGATATTTTTGTGACCGAAAGTTGCCGCAATAAATTTTTCAATGAGTTGTGTTCGTTCTGCAACTGAAAATGCATCTTCGCACCACGCGTGTTTAACATACTTGCGTAAAACTTGATCAAATACACATTCTTCTAATAATTCATATAAATCAATAAGATACGTCAAACGAATAGTCGAAAACGGTCGCTTTTGACGAACATTTTCATTGAGATAACTCTGCCAACGAATGTTTTTTTCAACGAATGTTTGAATTGTTGGTATTTCCATATCTGAATCGATACTTGTATCTCTCAAATAAGTAAAAACACAATCGAGAGAACCAAGATAATTCACAATGTCATCATTGTCCATTCCTTTCAAAAGACCTTGAAGCTTTTTTCTTTCGTTCGATTCGATTGTTTCTTGTTTCACACGCCTTCGAACATCAGTAATCAATGACGTATTTACAGCATAAAGTTCAAATTGATAATTAAGATATTGTAATTTGTCAGTATCAATAATTGGTAGACTACTAATTTTATTTCGTAAAACTAATTCGATTTCATCATAATCATAAATTATATCTCGACTTTTTCCGTATTCATAATTAATCATCAAGCAATCAGTGACTAACTGTTGACTGATTTTTCTCGCATCAATTTCAAATAAATGCTCTGGCCGAACCGATTGAACTGCTACAACATATTCTTTCCGTCGGGTTCCTAATGGATCAGTTCCAATTGTATTATGAAAATAATTGACAACTTCATTTTGTAATTGACCAATTGTTTTTAAACACGCTGCCAGTAGAATGCTTGTTGCATCGTTGGATTCACTTAGTAGAACAACAGCAATCATTGTATTCTTAGCAAAATTTTCTTTCGAATGCAGATGTTTAATTTGAACTGTTTGACAATCAAGCCGAACTTCTTTTAAATTGAGTTCATACCAAGCGTCAAGAAATGATTCGTAAAGTTTGCGAGTTGTTTCACAATCAGGTTCATTTGTTAAATAATATTCAATTGTTGTTGTCGCTGCATCATTTCGTTTAAGGCGATGATTAAATTTATGAATCAGGAAATTCGTGAATTTGACAATAGGATACAAATGTTGAATGTTTTCATAGGTCGATAATCGTTGCATTAAGAATGTTGTTATTGGGTAAATCTTTTCACTGTTTGGTATTGATTGTAATTTAGTGAGAAATTTTTCAATCGGATCTGTCTTATAAATATTGGTTACGTTGAAAAATTTCAAAAGAGAATATTTTGTTTCGTTCTCAAAGAGTTCATCGACAAAATATTCCAACCGGAATTTGTCGTTTTGTTTTTGAACATACTCAGCGAATGATCGTTTGTAATCATTTATTTTAGTTGGTATTGAATCAATATGAGCGAAAATGAGTCGTTCTTCAATGAATTTTTCAAATTTGATTACTTCTTGATTTTGATTAAGTACACCTTTCAAGAGAAATGTTTTGTCAACCATATGATCAATCAAACTGAACAGCCATGCATGGCAATTTTCAATACCTTCGCATTGTTCTCCAATTAGATCATAATCTTTCTCAAAGTGTTTTTGAAAATACTCCCGATTCGGCATTTTACTCGAGTTTGTTACAAATTCGACGTCATGTAGAAAAAGTAGAATGGCATGAGTGAACATGTGCAAAAATCGAAACGAGATCGAGCGATTGAGATGTTCAGGTTTTTCACCGATGCTGCTTTCCTCGACTTTCGTTATACTGTAATATCCAAACTGATTTTTTTCATTATACTTCTTCATATGATCATCGATGAACTGAAAACCAACAGCGATAGGCATTGCAATTTGTGGAGGTTCGCGAACAATGAGTTTATTGTAGGTTGCTGCGCCAATGTCCTTTTTACATAACGGGCATTTACTTTGAGAGGCTGGACGACCGCAACCTTCGAAATAAAATGTCCAAGAACAATCTTTTGAGCATCTATAGACGAACTTAGCGTCGGCATAGATTTCACCTCTTTCTAAACGTTCTTTCACTCGTGCTTTTACATCAAGCATCTGTTTAATAGCAGGATCTGCTGGCAAAAGACCTGGTAAACATACGGAAGATTGTAAATGTTGGGAACAATCTTTAAACATTTGACAATTACTATCGAACAATAACGACCCAATATAGGTGATGTAGTTAAGTGATTTCAATGATATCAGATAAGCAACAATATTTAAAACAACTAAACGTTGATGAACTTCGATAATCTTCATGTTTGGCTGAAGTCGAAAATAAGAAGTTTCAGTAAAGTTTTGACATAAAGAGACGAGTAGCTTATGACCAATTCTATCAAAACTTATTTGCAATAATTGACTAACGTCAAGTTTAAATAAGTGAATCCATTTCTCATCTGTTGGTTTAGTATGGGTTGTATAAAAACATGAATAATAATGAATAAACCAAACGAGAAAACAGTAAGATAATGTCTGATTCGTTTTACAATCGCCAATTAATTGTCGCAAACAGTCCAGATTGGGTCTGTTTGTAAGTGTATTACTAATACGTTGAAAGTCATCGTGAAACACAACAAATGGCGTTGGTAAAATGAGACTATGTCGGATGTCATTCATTTGTTGGTCGTGTGGTTTGTCAAGTATTGTTCGAATCCAAACAACATTACGATTAGTGAATATCTCTCGTAATTGATCAAGATTAATATTTGACAGTTCACAGATTTGTTTAATCACAAATAGTTTAAGTGTTGAAGAGAAAGACGAGTCATGTCGAATGAGAAATTCATCTATTTTATTGATGAATTGTTCATTATATTGATTGTTTAAAGCAACAGCATATAATTCTACGTAAAATTTGATCCAGGCGATCAGACCGATTGATGTTGAAGAATGATTCGATTGTTGATGTTGAAGCAGTTGTACATTTTCTTCAAATTGTTTGTAATTGTTCGCAAGAATTTCTTCAGGTGTACCACATTTATTTGCATGAAGTATTAGTTGCATATGAATATAATTCACCAGTAATCGTTCGATTTTATATGCGTTATCACTGTTCTTGTTCAAGCATTCATCAAGTATTTTGAACTGATCGATCTCTTCAATATGTCCATTGTTCAACACAATCGTTGAAAGTAAATGCACTTCTTCTTGATCGATGAATGACAAAATCTTGGCTGAATATTGCCACAAATCATTTTCCGGTTGACTCAGCAATGTCAGTATTTCAGGATATTGTTCGATATTCTCCGGTAGCCAATTTTTGAAAAATTCCATTTCCAGTTTAAGTAATGCACGATGGCGATAAAGGACAACATCGTCTGTAAGTGACTCGTTTTGGGGAAATATATTAATTAAGTAATCGATAAAACCATGAATATCGTGACAACTTGTAAATGTTGCATTAAATCCACCTAGACTACATGCATTCTCAAAAACAATTTTAGCTTCTTTAATTGGAAATAAAGCCATTATACAACGTGCTAAACTAGCAAATGAACGTAGTTTTTCGAGATTGTTTACTGAATACGAGTTGAGTGATAGAACACTTTGTATAACTCGATTGTAACAATTAACTAACTGTTCGATATTGTCGATATGATGAATAGTTGTTGGTAAAACGAGAAGTTCAATTAAGTTCATTAAATTCGTTTCTATCCAGGGATCACCTTGACATTCAAATGGAAAATCATTTTCATTGTTCATCGTTGCATTCGGTGGTATTAAAGCAAATGAAGCTGATTGCTCAATAAATACCAAAGTGTAATATTCCTTATGACCAGTAAGAGATTCGTTCCCCACGACATAGTTTTCAATTGATTGTTTATTGAAAATATCTGTAAAGAATTGTTCTTCAACAAGTTGCATACTGATTTAAAAAATTCTCAAGATTTCAAATAGATCAATATGATCAATAAGAAGATGTTTGAGTTGATCTTTTATTGATCGAGTTGGATTTAATGTGACTAAACGTTGAACGAAGGAATTCGGTAATTGATAAACTTTCGCTTCATCTTGAGCGAGTAAAAGTTGATCAAAATAATAATGAACGAATAAATGTCGATTGCTGAGAATTGATTTTATATATTCTTTATAAACACTTTTCTCGTGCAATTGTTTCATTGCTTGATTTAGTAGTTCATCATCCGGGATTTCTTCATCAGTTTGACTACGTTTTATTGTTGCATCACGAACTTGACGAATGTTTTCATATTCTATTGTTGCACATGGTAAACGTAAATTAAACAAGAGTGAAATCTCAATAATATCTCGATTCATTATCGTTCGATCGACTGTTTCAAGTGTCGATATCAAAGCAGCGTACCAAATCTTATACAAATCATCGTGAATGATCTTATTTGCTTCATTCGAAAGAAAATAATAAGTGTCGATAAATGAATATTGTTCGAGATGACCAAAAAGAAGAAGGAGATACTTATCGTAGAAGGACGCAACAGTCGCATGTAAAGCATCTTCAAATGAACGACACGATCCAATGATGGTTGAAGTTGTTAATAAATAACGTCGCCAATCTTTAACAGATGAAGCACACTTATCAAATGGAATAGTTTGAATTAACTTTGAAAGTAAATCTTCGATTATTGAACGAAGTTTTCTTTCGATTTCATTTTCTGTTTTTCGTTGTGTAAAACAATCGATAATACGATTTCGATATTCGTTGATTTTTTGTTCATCAAGCTGATTTACAACTGTATATCGCATTTTAGTCAAACAACGTCCAATGAGATTCGTGAATGAAATATCCGAAATCCGACATATTGGATGTGCAATCAATTGAATATATGATGAATTGAAAAGAATCTCTCGCGGAAGAAGTTGATTATCATTGAGATTGTTAATCATTATACTTGGCCAACCATTAAATATCACATCATTATCGATTCGAGTGAGTAAATTTCGTTGAAGATGAAAGATGACCCAAACACCACAATTACTGTCACTTCGATGTTCATTGAGTAGAATATGTTTCAGTAATAGAATGTGTTCATGTTCTTCATGATAATCTACACGAATAAGGAGAAGACGAGCTTTCCTTAAACGATAATGTACTTTGATTTTATTTGTTAATTCAAGTTCAGTTTTGAAATTGTTCAATTTGATTTCTTCAATCGAATCACCATTGTTGATATTCTCAATTGTTTGATATAATTGAGTGTAAGTGTATATTACTTGGTTATCGATTACGTTCAATCTTAATGCTTTGTCTATAAAACGTGAAAAGGAGAGATTTTCATGAAATTCATAGTATTGATCAATCAGTGATCGACTTTCATGAGTTTCTTTTAGAGACATGATCAATGGAAAATCAAATGAACTTGTATGTATCAATCTTTTCTTACAAAATGAGATAACTGCATTTGTATCCTCTTCATTGTCTTTTGAATTATCTTCAATGGAAATTCTTAAATATGTAAAAGCATCAATGACTAAATTATAAATAAAATCATTGCTATAATCAACAAACAAATGTTGTTCAAGTGGGAATTGTTCGTTAATATCTGTTATTAAGAGTTTATTGGTCCATGAGATTAAATTCAATGCAACTGTTCGATGTCGTCGATGAACAAGACTTTCCATATTGATAACATGTTTTTCGAAACGATTGAGAAATGGTGGATCACACTTGTCAACATCTTGTTGTCGAACGAAAACAACACAATAAAAATTTTCATGAACAAGACAACGTGGATGATAAAGAGGACCTAATGGAATACGACAATATTGTTTATTCCCGGAAACAGCAAAACTTTGATTGAATAAATCGTAAAGATTATCATAGAGATGACCCATTCGACGCATTACCAATGTCACTGGAGTTTCAGCATAAAGAATAATATCCATCAATACTCGATAATTGTATTGTTCGGTATACACACTACCTTCAACTAAATCTCCTGAAAAACTACTACCAATTAGAGTGCGAACTGGAGGTGGTTGAAATTTATTAATGATGTATTGTTCAGCATAATCAATGACACTTTCATTTTCACCAATTAACATTAAATATCGACCAGAACGTGATGACATACATTGATTGAGAATATCATTGAATGCCGGTGATGTTTTATATTGTTCATATAAATACATTTTATTCAGGTGCTGACAAAAATCATGCCACATGTAATGTGATCCATCGAAACTTCCATCAAAATTGACTGTTAGTTGTTGTCGAATTTGCTGATAAATATTACCATTTTCTTTCTCTAGAACTAATTCACGAATAACTCCTTTGATTAACGAATAAAAATCTCGTAAGCCAAAATAATTATTATATTGTGGTCGTACTCGAATATATTCGTACAGACTGAAATAAGCTGCAGCCAGACTATTGATAAGTTCATCATCAATTCGTGCGATTTGATTTTGAGTAGATATCATTGACTGTAAAATGGCTTTTGCTGTTGATTGTAAATCAGTCACGTCGGGATCCGGACAAGCGAGATAGAGAGCACGATTCATTTTCGATGCGTCAAGACGCCAATTTGATAAACCAATAAAAGCGTGTCGACAAGCCTCAACTTCAAGTTCACTATGAAGTACTTTCAATGCATTATGTGGAGACAATTCAGCAAGACCAATTTCATCAAAAACAATCACTGGTAGAAGATCGCTTTCGCTTTTCGCTTTCCTATATTTATCAGCACGTTGAAATACTTTGATTATACTATCCGATGTGCAATTTTGTGAACCTTGGAACGAAACAGAAACTAATTCAGGTAATGTTTGAAAGTATGCATTTTTCGATTTCTTTCCTTTAAGATTACTAAGGACAATTTGAACTGATGATGTTTTACTACAACCAGGTTTGCCACATAGAATTACTGGAATTCGATTGGTGATACATGCAATCAGCACAAATATGTTATCGGTTAATGTTCGATTCGTTGCGGTTCCCGACGGAAGTTCCATTAAATCAACGAGCTTCTTTTCTTCGCTTCGTAGAGTTTCGACTAATGACCGACCAGTGTAATTACCGTCAGAAGTGAGCGCTTTTTGTATTTCTTCAATGTATGTTTGACGTTCTGTAGGACCGTTCAAACGGAAGAAATAGCAGAGTGAAAGAGCAATCAAAGTAGAGCGGCTGAGTACATCGATTTTGTTTTTCAACAATTGTTCTTCACCTTCACGAATGCAGATCGATTTTAGAAACCAGTTGTAAAGACGACAGAATCGTGCCACATCACGCAATGATACACTGCTCACATCTTCGTGATCGCGAAAGAATTGTTGTGAAACTTGGATTAAAAGTGCCGTTTTCTCAAACCAAATCGAATCACTATGAAGTTGTTCACAAGAATTCAACATTGCTCGAACATATTTCATTTCTGTCACTGAATCAAGATAGCCATAATCCCATACATATTCGAGCATTGTTTCTGGAATCGGTACAACTGTATAAAGTAAAGCCATACTGCCCACAATATGCGTTAACCGTTGCGTTTCATATCGATCTTTTTTAATTCCAATCTCATCATCAAATATTGCTTTCGGATTCTTTCGTCGTTGTGGATTACAAGCACCTAATATGACTAAATTCTTCGGTAATGATTCACCTAATAATGTTCGTTCACAAGTTATTTCTTTGAATAGACCAATACTTGATGTTGTGTTGAATTCATCCAAGAATACCCATAATCGTTTATTGGAATTCTGTCGTAAAAATTCATTGGCTTTAGCAATAAAATCTTTCATTGTTTCAATAATTTTTTCGTTTGTAATACCCGCATGAATACGAAATATGGCCAATTCATCATTGAGAATCTTTTGACATAAGAATTGGATCAACGCTGTTTTCCCACATCCTACAATATGAAAGAAAGATGAAAAGTTCGAAAAGTATTATGTTTAGAAAATTCTCACCAGTTTCACCCATTATTAACACAGGAATATGACTTTGAACACGTAAATAGATTAACAACATTTTAATATAATTGTCAGGTGTCAAAACATATTCCGATTTGATTTTGTCACCTAATCTTTCAATAATTTTGTCAACAGCTTCACTCTTGGCTTTATTTGGGTTACATAAAACATTTTTAGTTGGACAATTCGTACAATTGAGAATATTATTTTCGAATTGAGTAAAACAATTTGGACAGATCGGTTTACTGTAATATTTCTTCGACAGTGAAGCCAGTTTCACAAAGAATTCTGCATGTTTTAACTTCGTGTAATCGGGCAAGAGATTTTGTTGTGGTAATTTGATTTGTTTCAATATTGCATTGAAAATCTCGAATTCTTTTTGAAGAGATTGTGAAACATTATCGACAGTTTTGTAAACAAATATTGGATCATGAGAATCGCTAAATACAACAGTAAATGGTTGTGATTTATCCCATCGTACAATGGCATCACTAAATGTAGGTGAATCATCATCAGTTGATCGTTGATTTTTACGAACAGATTCAACAGATAAAGATGTAAATTGATTCGATGATTGAAGAAGAGTTTGAAGTATATTAATACGTAGTTGAGTGTTGTTCACTTCTTGCATCATTTCAACAATGAAATGGCCACATCGAGAGAATCCATCGAATAAACTTTCGTAAACAGAAATAAATATCGATAGTTGTGTCCAAGTTATGTAATCGGAATTTTTTCCTTGGAGAAAATGTTTTTGTAAGATTGTTACACATTTCTCTGGGCCCAATTGAGTTATGTTTTCTTTGGTAATATTTTGTTTGATGATTGCTCCGTTATCAATCGCCTGAAGGTAATTTACAACTAATTGAAGTGATGCCATATTTTCTACTTTTAACTGATGGAGATCCATTGTTTCAATACGGTGACATGGTAAAAATTGAAGTATAGTAATCTTGTTATATGCAGTAAGTGAATGTGGTGATGAATCGAGTTCAATATAGATTGGAATATCAACTGGTATATAAACAGCTTCTTGACCAAAACGAAATCTACGGAAAAGTAATAGACAATACAAAAGTTCATTTAGTTGTTGAATATTATCGACAATTCCAATATCTATATGAAGAGCTATATTGATTGGGATCATTTCTTGTCCGATAAATCGTAATCGTTCAGCTAATGTATCAACATTGATATTTCCATTAATAGAGAACTTGACATAATGTTTCTGATTACGTTGAATTTCATTTCGTATGTATGTTGATTTGCCGAGACCTGCAATGCGTGATGTGATCAAAGTACAATTTCCCATCACAAGTGTTTTAATCATCTCATGTAGTGCGGCTTTAACGAGTAAGTTCTGATTCTGTATTATAGTAACAGCATCTGATGCTTTTAAAGCGTTCACCAGTTGTAAACGAACTGTCAACTCTGTTGTGACAATACCTAAATGGAAGAGTTGTTTCGGCTGTTGTTTAATGAATTTATATAAGAATTTTGTCAATTGATCTTGAACCAATGCTGGTAAGAGTTCAGGTCGAATTAACTGGTGTAAAATTCCTTGGGAATATAAACAACGATAGGCGAATGCGCGCATTTCAATCCAATTTGTTGTATTTGAACAATAGAATATATTATGAACCTGTGGGTGCACTTTGGTTAACTCAAATAGAGAAAGTATACCACATAAAATACCTTCATAGGATGTTTGAATGACTAAAACCTTGTTAAATGATGAATTTTCAACTTTCACGTTTGTTTTATACTTTGTCCTTTGAGCCTCGAGTATTCGAGCAATATTTTTCAAACGTTCATGTGGTTGTTCACTTCTTTCTGTCAAAAATTTTCTTTCAATTTGTTTTGGATCAATACCGATAAAATTCAATAAATGAAAACCGAGATGATCATCTGAAGCAGATTTTCGATACAAATAGTCTTCAACGGTCCAAAATTGTTGATTAACAAAATAAGTCAAATCGATATATTCTTTGTACATCTCACATAAATTGTTTTCCCAATCGGTAAGCAATGTTTCAAGTGATGAATTGAAATCCGATAAATTCTGATAGTTGCCAGCAATACAAGTAAATTCACTTTTAGCAGAAAGATATTTGAGCACAAATGGATGACCGGTCATATTCAATGATGTTAAATGTGTCAAGACTGTCTCGATAACGGAAACCATATTGATAAACGATTGAAGATCACGAATTTCTTGTTCTGAATCTTTTCTTATTTTATTCGTACTATTCGTAGAATATTGAATAAGACGAGCGCGGTCGCAGAGTTCACTCAAATCGGCATAACGCATTGTTTGTTGTTTGCAGAAAACATCAAATCGATATTCAATCCGTCCATGTAGATTTACCGGTGTTTGATCAAAATTGAACGAAGCATTTTGTACGATGTCGAATATATATCGTCGTTTTGATTGTTCCTTATTTGTTAAATCCATATGAACACGTTTTATACTGGTTAATGACTTCGAACATGATTCGAAACATTGAATTATATTTGGACTTTTTTCATCTTTCTGTTTCTCTTCAAAACACAAGATTATTCGATGAATTTCATTTTGTAACGATTGGTTTTTGTGTCCTGATTTGATATTTGCATAGATTTGATCAAGAAAGTTCTTTATTAGTACAAGATCAAGTATGATCTTTGTACTAATCAATGTTTCATCCCAATCATTGACTGCTTCAAGTAAATTGTCAACGTCAGTTACAGGTAATTTGTGAAGAAATGTAATTAGTTCATCTGATATTTTGTATTGACTGATCAGATTGAGTACTTGACGTGGATATTTCCTCAAATAATTTTTAGAAAAATATTCATATACTTTGTAAATCTCATCGCCTGTTTTGTTCTCATTAAGTTGTTCAATACTGTTGAATAACAGACGTGTTTCATCATCTAGTAATACTTGAAGATATGTCAAAAGGTTAATAATACCTTGACAAATACAAATGAAATTCTCTCGATCTTTCCAAAAGCCGAGAATTTGTTTTAAAATCGGAACAACTGCGGCGTCAAGTAGTGGTTTGAGAATATCAAAATCATAATCGATATAATGTATGTCGGGGAATGAATGAATCCAATTAGAAATAAGTAATGTTTTCCAATTGCTACAAATGTCTTTCAATCGAGTTGTGAAAAGATCAAATATTTTCTCGGCCTGTAACAACAAACCAGAGCAAGTCATAGAGTCCGATGCTTCTTGTGCATTCGTATCTTTTGTTAGTGGCACTGCTAAAACAAAGTAGACCATAATTTTTTGACGTATTTTTTCAAATCTTTTAGGTCTTTCTATGACGATCAGTAACATATCATATATTTATAAAACTCCCAATAACGAAAAAATCGAAGTCTGAGTGATGCATTTCGTGTTGAACACAGAAAAGCTGGTCAAAGGTCCGATGAAAATATCATAGCTCAGTCTCAGAAGACCACAAACAAAAATTTTTTGAGGTTTTTAACTACTTCAGTATACTGACATTTATGGGCAATCATTTCATTTACTTACATGTCATTGTTTCCTGACGAAATAAATGCCAGACGTTTGATTTGGAATAAGGATCGAGGCGTTGAGCAATTGGTACAATTTTTTCCATTTCTTCTGATATTGCAATAGATCGAATAGTTTGGTTGACGAATGAATTATCGATATTTTTCAAAAGATCTTTGTAATGTTGTTTATCTGTTGCATTTGAGCAATAAATATCGATACATGATGAGATCATCTCTGTGATTTGCAGTTTTTTTTTCAGATTATCATTTTCTTTATTGATTAATGTGTTCATCTCAAATTTTTTAGATGATACTTCACCAATATGCGCCCAAACTTCGAGAGCAACTGCACGCTGCTGCTCTGTATAATTATTCCATGTTGAAAGGTCATTCAATTGCATTCCTTTTTCTTCCCAACTTGTGGATAGAACGAGTAATCTATCAACAATATACTGACGTATGCGAGTAGTTTTAAAAGAGGGCAGAAAAATAGCTGAGTAAGTAAATGATTGACTATCGGGTTTATAAAATACATCTTGTAGGATTTCATCATCCTCAATTTGAATATCTTCACATGCCATTTCAATTAATTCGCGTAGAATTCCATTTTGATATTTGGTTTTGTCATCAAAGCGTTTTAATATATGTAAAGGATTTGCTGGATTTTCCAATTCTTTGAAACTGTCTTTATACGCATTTAAAACGTTTGTTTTATATTTCAATTTGAACGCATTGAGAAATTTTGGACTTTGAACCAGTAACACACTCTTTTCCATCTCTTCTATTATTAGTTCTAAACAAATAAATGGATTGACGCAAATTACATAGAGATACTAGAAGTGATTTACTTTGTTCAAAGCAGAACTCGGCCATATGCTTAATAAAGTGCTCAGCGTATGAATGTCCATCAGTGATTGAGATCAACTTATCGATTTCTTTAATAATTTCGATCATTAAATAAGATTTGTGTGTAAAACATGTGGTCCAAGCTTTGAGAAGTTCTTTGAACTCGTCAGCATTGAATATCAATTGCTTCTTGTCATTCGGTGCCATAAAAGCTGAAAACCACCGTTTATAGAACTCAACGGAATTAGAATGATTGCCGTTTGTAAGAATTTTACACAGAAATTCTTTTCTTTTAACATGAAATAGAATATTCGATTTCTCGGACAAAATAAATATCTCACGAATCGAATCAAAATCGTCAATAGTGATTTTGAGTGTCGACATGTATTCCTTAATTTTTTCTCGTAGTGGAACACTTGCATCGATAAATGAATGAATCATTCTGAGATCTGGATTGGTATCATCTGATGACGTGTGTCGAAGAAATTTCAAAAGATGTGTTATACTTTTGAGATCAACTAAAATATTTGAAATACAAATAACTATTTGAATTTCCTTCAACGAAGTCTACTTACTGAGAAATCGACCTTGCACAGCAGTATTATCAAAATGTGTACTAAGCCTGCTGATGAAATTAACGGAGTGTGATAATGCAGGAATAACTTCTTTGATATACTTCAAATATGCTTCAAACAACATTGGTTTTAAAGGAATACGATCTATTAACGCATCACAACTGTCCAGTGCTAATAGTTGAAGCCACATTGATTCAGGCATTTGTTCCTCTAATCCGATATTTTCGAAAAAGTCGATGATCTTTTTAACAATATAAAGGCGTGCTGTCTGGATTGATGCATCCAGGAGCAACTCAAGTGGATTTTTGCTTGGTGTTTTATTTATCCTATTGAGTAATTGAATGCATATTAGAATACTTATACCATTATTAAATGAATTCCGTTCGTTTTCTGTCAAATAACTGATTACATCTTTAAGGGACTTTTTAAGTTCACTCATGATAAAAGTTGTGAAGCACTCTGTGGAGTGATCAAATGCCTCATAATTTTGCTTGTCAATTGGCAAAACTCCGATCATAAGAACGACTTGTTTGATTCCAATAGCTTTATTTGTAGTGTTCTTCAAACTATATACAATATAGCTGTTACATTCACTGATGAAACCGGTGCAAAAGTCTTTATCGAAGGAACGGCCGACAATGGCCACTCTAAACTGCTCCATGAATTCATTGAATATGTCGTATGTCGACTGTTGCAGAAAGAAACATGTCAATAAGCAAAGTTGACTCCAGAAAGGTACTTCTGATCCTAAAAGTAAAACAGATGATTTTCCTCGACTATCCCCTGTTGTTTTTACTTACCTGGTAGGTGGTATGGGGTGTATCCCTTTTTAAAGTGAACATCGAATAGAAATTCACAGGAGCAGCGACGAGGATCGCGTAAGACTCGTTTCATTTCGATATCTTCATGGCTGAAAAGCCTGAGTCGATAGTCGATTATGTGATGCAACTTGTTTTTATATAGAACACATAATTCGCCAGCATTGTTGTATACTAAATCAAGCTCGAGATTGAAAATATGTACCTTATCATTGCCCTTTTCCTTGTTTATGGCGCGTTGTGCAAAATCAAGCTTTACATTTTCGGAGAAGTGGCCTTCAATCCGAATGTTTTCTTTCGACTTTGTATAACGTAGTAAAAACAAGCGCATTTTGAAATTCGTCTGCATTGAACTATCTAACTGAAGATTCGCTTCATGCGGAGTGTTCGACGTGTTCATTTTGTCCTTCTGGTTTGTATCAATCACTGTTGTTGTCGATACTGCGTCACAATAAACATCATCATCGTCACCACCGCTAACAGTATGAACTGTTTGCTTGTCTTCTTCTAAAGGTTTCAATTCCTCATGTTCATCAATATGAATTATATTGACGTACTCATCGTGTACGTTTACCCTACCTGATGACGAAGTCATGTATGGTGATATTGTTTTTACTTAATGATTGTTTGGAAATATGATTAAATTAAACTATAATCTATAATATAAAATACTTTTGTGCTCATGTTTTTCATGCATGTAGAAGTCGAAGAGACGTTTCAAGTTTTCAACTTGAGAGTGTGGGTGTGGGGTGAATGTGGCAAGCCTATAGTCAAATGTGGTTGATGCGGTTAGCATAACAGTGAAATCTGGATTAATGATAATCCAAGTTTGGAAGTTTAAAACTCGAATCGAATTAACGATTTTTACAATATTCTTAACATAAAAACCATAAAAAGTCCACTTCAGACCTCTACGTACAGAGAATGTGGGTATTTAGCCAAGTAGACGTGTATGTTGGATATTTCAAATGACTATGAAAAGACAAAAAAGAATGTCGTATGAAGAAAATGTTGAAAGAATCGAAAAGATACGTGGAAAGTAGCTCGCTGTTCTCGACATTTTTCCCATTCAACATTTTTTCTTTCGATATTTTTATAACCACTCGATATTTCAAAGATAACAACTTTGTCAAAAACACCTTAGGTAAACTATGAATCACTAAAAGTAACAAAAGAATAAACGTAGATAGAGATTCATATCTTCTATTGTATATTTTGTGTACATACCGTAACGCCTATCACTAAATATGAAGTAGTATTGACAATCGAGATGAAACGGATCGATTATCTGCAATTTAGTTTACTTTGAAATTACTAGCAGATCTTTTTTAAGAATAGATAGTGTTAGTGTTTGAAACAAATGAAGTAGTTCTTAAATAACGTATTTTGCGAGTTCTTTTACGACATAGAATACCTTTGGGCAGGATTCGGCTTCTTCCTGAGCCGATTCATTTCATCGTAGGTTCCAATAGTACTAACACTGGTTCCAAGCACAACTTGATGAGTTCTATCGGCTCCAATCATAAGATTTTCACCCACACTCACACCCTCAAGTTGTGCTTGGAACCAGTATTAGTACTGTTGGAATCTATGGTAAAACAAAATGTGCTTCTTTTCATTGTATAACAGCTTGTCTGTGTTTGTGCCATTATCAAAAGACAAATGCCTAAATGATAGAAACTGAAGATATCGCAGGGTTCTCAAATGCTATAATATATGAGGTAGATGTGAGATCTATTATGTCCAAATCCGTTAACAATAAAACTACAGAAATAGTTGATAGTGGTTACAAATAGTCCGATACGTGGTGGCGTCACTTAGGATCGCATATGATTGAAAGCTGCATGACTACGTGGTTGAATTCAAATGAGGGTCATGCAGAAGATATTTGTATTGGACTTCAACATTTTAAGGATATAGATCCTTGTATCAATTTGTTACTGTTGTCAAAGATGAAAAAAATTGTTAATTGTTTCCGATGCTTTTACTCAACAAATTATCATATCGTGTCCGTCGGCGAAGCGTCGCAAACAAATTCAACCTATATTATTGAGAATAGTATAACACAATACGAAGAATCGAAACGACAATGTGGAAAATATAGAAGGAATTTCTGCAAAAATATTCCACATCCTTAAACATGATATTTATTTAGCAGGAAGACATTTATCACCTTTACAATGCCAGTTTCAAGTCAAGATTTGCCTAAAAAAATTGAAAAGATGCATCCATGAAAGCCTCCGACAATGGCATTTACTATGTGCTGAGGACATGGATTATTCAATAAGGACTTTGCATCGCTAATACAAAGAAAAAATGGTCTTTTGAGCATGTTTTCTCTACAAGTCTTGATAAAGTATCTCACGCTGTTGCTTACAGTTTCGCAGACGATCGAAGTAAATTAGATGTATACTCTTTGGAATCGGAGTTCATCCGTCAGTCTATTTAATACTATTTACTTCTGCAGCTAATGTTGGCCATTTGGTCAACACCGAAGAAGAGATTTTCTTTTTAATATATACTGTTTCTCGAGTTATGAAAATGAAGGAAATTTTGCGTCAAGTATGGCAAATCGATCTGAAATTAACAGATGATAATGATTCGCACCTGACTCAATTAACTAATTACCTCCGAAATGATCTTGAAGATGAGACTGGGTGGTATTGAAAGGGTTCATTGATGTACAAGATGTGTCAGTATCATCGAGCCGCAGATGCTTACGAGACATTTCGAGCAACGATTCACGTCATTATTTCTAGCATATACTAATTTGGCTATAACACATCGATCCATGAGAAATGATTCCGCTGCACTTTCTTATTATGAAGATATGCTTCAACTTAAGCAAGAATTTCGCCCGTCTAATCATCCTAGCTGCACAGTAATATCCAACAATGTAAATATTGTACATCATGCATTCAGACATGTGTTGGCGTATCGATCTTACTTCACCTGATCGCATACTAGAAATCGATATAAATCATAGTTTTTGTCACACACTTCTCGCTAGGATTCTTCTGCAGCTGCAGATCGGCAACGCTTCGTCATTTGATAGGTTCTATAGAATCAAAAGCGTTCTCTCGATTCTCTTTAAATCTTAATATATCAAATAAAACATCAACAACAACAAAAAGTGGCTACGGCAGAAGTCAATTGTTTTTTAAATATTCTAAGAGCAACAATGTCGACATGCACAGCAACTCCAAGAAGATTAAAGCTTGAAACAAACTTTAAGGTTATAGTGGAATTTCTTGTTCGCTCCCCATGCGAACATAATAAGTCTCATCACTCTATGTCATTATATCCCTTCAACGCAAGTTCCAAAGATCATTGATGTGCTTGACGTCGCCATTTCTTCAAAGAAGTTTTGAAAGTTTTCATATAAAGCTCTGAAGGTGCCACAAAGATCACAAAGATAAGAATTGATGGCATAAACGATATAAAATAAGCACTTAGATATAGCCATAAGTATTCCGATGTGTTCACACAACCGGGAAGTAATGAAATCGCCAAACGTGGGATTGATAAACAAAGTAAGATAACTGGACTGATGATCAATTGTTTATGTTCTTTGAATTGTATACGGATATGTACTTTGACACTTTGATTGTTCTGTGCTTTGGATCGTTGTCGAGCAACTCCAAAAATAATGAACAGAGCTGAGAAAAGATTAGCAACAAATGGACCAACAAGGTGAACAAACAGAATAGTTGTATTGTAATTTTGAATAGGACGAGAATAACCGGTGACACACCAAACGTATCGTCTTGTTTTGACCACTTCTGTTTCATTTTTTGAAATCTCGTATGAGAATACATTTCGATAGATGAATTCGTGTAGAAGAGTAAACAGAACACAAATTGGTAAAATGCAAATGATCCATCTCGCAGCAGTTCTACTCGTCTGTTTATTGAATTTAACTCCTTTGTAAACATGAAATGCTCGTTCAATAGCCACACAAGCATTCAGCCAACCATCAAAATAGAGAAGTAGCTTGAGAAAAGGCTCGATTACTTTACAGCCAGCTCGATGAATCGAAAGATTCGTCGTATCGTTGATCTGAGTCAGAACAACAAACCAAAACTTGATGAAAAACATATTGATGGTCAGAAAAGAAGTAATTGATGATGCGAGAAGATAGAATCCACATCCAACCTGTTGTGCATCTTTGTTTTGATATGTAACCTATGAAAGAAAACTGTTGATCAGCCCTCCAAAAAACATAATAGTTGCCAAAGCAGCACTTAGTTTGATCGAAACGATTTGTTGACTTAGTGTTGAATTCTTCTTGAGTTCTTCATAGAGGATATCATCTAAAGTCAAACCAATACTTTTGTAATGAAGATTACACTGATCACCAATCACACAATATTTGTTAGTTGGATCTAAAAAGCATTTTGAGCAACTGAAGAAAGAAACTAATCAATATATGAATGAACATACTTGAATGTCGAACAGTCACATTGGTATGAGATAATCAAGATATGAATAGAGAAAATTGTCCAGTTGTATATGAATCAAATGTTAACTTGTAGATTAAGAATAAATTTCGATTGTTCTTGACTACATGTGCCATCGTGTTCAAACAGTTGATTTAGTGATGGTTTCAATGGATCAAAATAATCTTGATAGATGTAACCAAATGTATGAATTGGACTATGAACCCAAATGAGATATGTTTCGTTTGTATTGACATGAATTTCGAATGTTTCATAGTAACATTTTGGTTGTTGGCAATCCCGATAATACATTCGACTATTTTGTGATAATTCGGATGAATAATTAAACAAAATATTGAGTGGAGTAACTATTCAATGATGAAAAACAATAGAAGAGGACCGTATTTGTAAAATGAATGTGTTTACTCACTCAAACGACTGAGAGTGACATTTTTTAAACCGAATATTTTTATTTCGATGTTGCCAGTAATCATGGGTTGATTTGTTGTGACAACCAATATGTATTTACCGTCGTTATAAAGAGGAAGTTCAAACTTGAATTGACCATCGAATCCTCCATCGTCATCTGTGATGGGAAGATTTTCATTTGGATTCAATGGATTAAAATTGTTCTCATAAATATAACCATATGTATCAATCCCAACACTGCTTCGTACTGAATAGTAAAGACTTTCGGGCTCTTCAATCTGAAACGCTCCGTAATAATACTTGAATTTGTAACATGCTCGACAATATGTGTGACTAGTTTTGGTTAATTCGATTGACTTTGTCCATAGATTCACTAATAGTTTATCTATTAAACACGTTTACATATAGTCAAAATATCCGCTTGTTAAACAATCTATTGAAACTTACCACAAGAGTTCTTTGAATATTCAAACTTTTCAATTCGATCGTTTCCTGAATCGACAATAAACAGATTTCCAAAACCATCGAAAGCTAAATTCGATGGAAATAATAACAGAGTAGATTTAATACTGATTCCATCACATCCGATAACACAGCGAACATCAGTGGGTCCTGCTAGAATAATCCGATAATTATTAGAATCAACAATAAATAAGTATCGTTGAGCATCAAATGTAATTGCTGTTGGACACGAAAGTGAATACGGATGCTGCAATGATTTGCTGCCAATTTCTGTTTTTCCATCTACTTGACCTAATGAAAATCGTTGAATTCGGTCGTTGCCGCAATCTGCAACAAATGTATCGAAGTTTGTATCAACAAAAATCCCATGAGGACGATGAAGTTGATGAGATCCTGATCCTGCAGTATCCCTTCCAGCCACAGTAGTCAAGGNAAATGCTCGTTCAATAGCCACACAAGCAATCAGCCAACCATCAAAATAGAGAAGTAGCTTGAGAAAAGGCTCGATTACTTTACAACCAGCTCGATGAATCGAAAGATTTGTTGTATCATCGATCTGAGTCAGAACAACGAACCAAAACTTGATGAAAAACATACTGATGGTCAGAAAAGAAGTAATTGATGATGCGAGAAGATAGAATCCACATCCAACCTGTTGTGCATCTTTGTTTTGATATGTAACCCATGAAAGAAAACTGTTGATCAGCCCTCCAAAAAACATAATAGTTGCCAAAGCAGCACTTAGTTTGATCGAAACGATTTGTTGACTTAGTGTTGAATTCTTCTTGAGTTCTTCATAGAGAATATCATCTAAAGTCAAACCAATACTTTTGTAATGAAGATTACACTGATCACCAATCACACTATATTTGTTAGTTGGATCTAAAAAGCATTTTGAGTAACTGAAGAAAGAAACTAATCAATATATGAATGAACATACTTGAATGTCGAACAGTCACATTGGTATGAGATAATCCAGATATGAACAGAGAAAATTGTCCAGTTGTATATGAATCAAATGTTGTTACAACTAAGATATATCGAATGTTAACTTGTAAATTAAGAATAAATTTCAATTGTTCTTGATTACATGTGCCATCGTGTTCAAACAGTTGATTTAGTGATGGTTTCAATGGATCAAAATAATCTTGATAGATGTAACCAAATGTATGAATTGGACTATGAACCCAAATGAGATATGTTCCGTTTGTATTGACATGAATTTCGAATGTTTCATAGTAACATTTTGGTTGTTGGCAATCCCGATAATACATTGGACTATTTTGTGATAATTCGGATGAATAATTAAATAAAATATTGAGTGGAGTAACTATTCAATGATGAAAAACAAAAGAAGAGGACCGTATTTGTAAAATGAATGTGTTTACTCACTCAGACGACTGAGAGTGACATTTTTTAAACCGAATATTTTTATTTCGATGTTGCCAGTAATCATGGGATGATTTGTTGTGATAACCAATATGTATTTATCGTCGTTATAAAGAGGAAGTTCAAACTTGAATTGACCATCGGATCCTCCATTGTCATCTGCGATGAGAAGATTTTCATTTGGATTAAGTGGATTGAAATTGTTTTCGTAAATATAACCATATGTATCAATATCAGCACTACTCCATATTGAATAATAAAGACTTTCGTGCACTTGAATCTGAAAAGCTTCATAATAATACTTGAATTTGTAACATTCTCGACAAAAAGTGTGACTGGTTCGGGTGAATTCGATTGACTTTGTCCATAGATTTACTGATGCAACGTCTATTGGACATGTTTACATATAGTCAAAATACCCGCTTGTTAAGCAATTTATTGAAACTTACCACAAGAGTTCTTCGAATATTCAAACTTTTCAATTCGATCGTTTCCTGAATCGACAATAAACAGATTTCCAAAACTATCAAAAGCTAAATTCGATGGAAATAATAACAGAGTAGATTTAATACTGATTCCATCACATCCGATAACACAGCGAACATCAGTGGGTCCTGCTAGAATAATCCGATGATTATTTGAATCAACAATAAATAAGTATCGTTGAGCATCAAATGTAATTGCTGTTGGGCACGAAAGTGAATACGGATGTTGCAATGATTTGCTGCCAATTTCTGTTTTTCCATCTACTCGACCTAATGAAAATCGTTGAACACGGTCGTTGCCGCAATCTGCAACAAATGTATCGAAGTTTGTATCAACAAAAATCCCATGAGGACGATGAAGTTGATGAGATTCTGATCCTGCGGTATCCATTCCAGCCACAGTAGTCAAGGCCAGTTGTGGGTCATGAAGATTTCCTTTAATAACTCGATGATGTGTGGACATGGAACAATACAAATGACTACCTATGTCGATAAACAAACCAACACACGAAGAAAAAACATCTATCGCATCAACAAAGACGTTGGTCTCAAAAACCCACTGTTTCACTTGACGTTTTGATGCAGTGTCAATGAATATGTCACCGTTGGACATAACAAACAGAGAAGATGAATGAGAGAAATTAGCAGGAATTGTTATTGGTTGAATAGTGTCACTGTGATGCCAAACTAAAATTTCTTTATTTTCTCGATTAATCGAATAAATGGAATTTTTGTCATTGATAAAGATGGCCGACGGATTCGAACCAAGTCTCCGTTGATCGGCAAAAGTCGTTCCATTTCGTTTCCAAACTGATTTTGAACAAAGTCTTGGTTGATTGAATGAAAACTCTACGAGAGAAAAAATTTCATTTCTATACTTTCTTTTGATTCTTAACACCACATAAATACAAAACTCTTATGAAACTCACTACAAGAGTTGCTTAAGTAAAATTTCTGAACTCCATTCTTCAAAAATGCACTGACAAACATGTTGCCATGTACATCGAAAGCCATAGTAGATGGTCTGCTCAATTGACCACTCTGTTCATAGCATCCAACTAAGCATCGAAAACCATGGGGTCCTTCTCCAACAATACGATCATTTCCGGAATCAATAATAAATAGATATTTCTTGGCATCCAATAAGACTCCAGTGGGGCTCGTAAGCAAAACAGTAGGCTTGTATGATTCTTTACCGGCAACTGTAATGGCCTTGTTTTTTCCCAAAGAAAACAATTGGATTCGATCGTTGTTTGAATCTGCCACGAACAAATCGAAGTTAACATCAACAAAAATTCCATAGGGATTATTAAGTTCATCAGCGCCAGATCCTTTAGTACCATTTCCCGCAACAAGTATCGGTTTCATCGAAGAATTGTTCAAGTTTCTTTTCATCACTTGATGATTCGCGCTCATCGAGCAATACAAACTGTCATTCGTATGCACAAACAGACCAGTACATGACGACTGTACATCCATGACGACAACAAAATCTCCTGTCTTTGATATCCATCTCTTTACTGCTTTATTCTGATCACCATCATCAACAAAAATATCACCATCCAATGTTACGAATAGAGACATTGACATTGAAAAGCTACCTGAAATGTTGTAGGCGGATGTGAGACTATTTTCGTCAGTCCACACTAAAATCTGATTGCCCTTTTGATTAATAAGATAGATAGTGTTGTTTGTATCGATAAAAATAGGTGTAGGAAATATGCTGGGGGTGAATTGATCAGTAAGAGTGGTTTTCTTCTGACTCCAAGTTGCCTTTGGACACAATTGTGGTTGATTAAATGGAACAGCTACGAATATAAGAAATAAAATCAAGAAAAACATTCGTTAACAAATCCTTTCAGCACCGATTTATTTGACTTTTTATTTACTCACCAGACGTGTTGATCAGCTCGAATTTCTGGATACGGTGGTTCTGCTGATCAACAATAAACATATTGCCATATACATCGAAATTCATAGCAACCGGCACAGTCAACTGATTCGGTTGATCACCTTGCTCATAGCATCCAGCCAAACATCGAAAGCCATAGGATCCTTCTCCAACGATACGATTATTTCCAGCCTGCACCAGCAAGTGTGATGGCATTTTTTTCTCCGAATACAAATGACTGAATTCTAGCATTATTCGAGTCTGCTACCAATAAATCCAAGTTGTTATCAACAAAAATTCCATAGGGATAGCTGAGTTCACTAGCATGAGATCCTTCAACGCCGTTTCCAGCAACGAGGGTCGGTTTCATCGAAGGACTCTTCAAGTTTGTTTTCACCACTCGATGATTAGTGAATATGGAACAATACAAGTTGTCATTAATATCAACAAAGAGACCAAAACATTGCGACTCAACATTCATAACAATCTCAAAATCTTCTGTTTGTGGTCTCCACTTCTTTACTACACCATGCCTAACGTCATCATCAATATAAACATCACCATTCGATGTTACAAATATGGAATAAGCATCCGAAAAGTTGCCTGAAATGTTGTATGTTGGTGTGAGACTATTCTCGTCATTCCAAATCAAAACCTTCTTTTTCTCTTGATTAAAAACATAGATCGTATTGTTTGTGGTTATAAAAATAGATGTGGGATTTTGACCAACGATAGATCGATTAGCAAAAGTGTTTCCACTCCGATTCCAAGTTGCTGTTGAAGACAAGTTCGGTTGATTCAACGAAAGAGCTAAAATTTCTTCTTAAAAAACGAATAACGAGTATTTAAATTCACTTACCCAACGATTTCTCATTGTAAATAAGAAGGAAAAGGATTAGAATAGAAAAATTCCACGTTCTTCTTCTTCCGTATGAGTCTGTTCCAAGTTGCGATTTGCTTTTAAACACATGACATGGCACAATCGAAGGATTAGTTTGATCACGTTCTTCGTCATTAAATTTAACTTGCAAATATTTATTCCTGTTTTAGATGAAATTAGTTTTCATTCAACTAAAAGTCACGATCAGTTGTATAGTGTCATCGGAGATCATTAACGTCAATATGAAAGAGAAACAAGTGATGGCGAAAGTGAAGAATACTGACATCCCTGTTTTTATTATTTAAAGGAAATCGCATAAGAATTAAGACCATTTAACAATATTTTTTCCACAAAAATCTTGTACTGCATTCGAAACATACGGACCAGCACCGATTTCATAGATGCACATTACTGGACAATGGTCCGACACCGAGTATCCTCCAGTACAAAAGATATTTGTTAGAGAATTAGCTAAGATAGGACGTGCATATTTATTTTGCATGATCCAATCTAATGTTGTGCCAACTTGAATATCTTCTTTTGGTTCAGCTGGTCGTTGAGGATGTGTAATTGGTGTTGGTAATCGTAATTCAGCAAAACAATCGACATAACCAGCTTCACGTAGAATACGTCGTGGATGATAATTTTCATTTAAATCACCCATAAATAAAACAGCTAGATAAGGATTATTGAATCGAGTAGTTAATGCTTCTAAAGCACTAACTGTACGACGTGTTTGTTGCTTACGCAGATTAATATCTGTTTTGCGTTCTTCTTCATGTCCTTCCCAAGTATAATGGGCAGTCGAAACAAGTATTTCTTTTCTATTTTGTTGATTGGTTACATTTGATGTCGATGATTTGATGAACAATCGTGCCCAAAATAAACGTCTCAATGGTTCCATTATACCAATATCAACCATTCCGTAGTCTAACATGGTGAACATATTCGAATTCCAATAGATATTACCTTCATTCTGCCATCCAGCAAATTCATCTTGAATGAAAGCATGTGTTGGTAAAGCTTCGACAATGGTATCGTGTAGTAATGGATGCAGTTCTTGTATGCAGAGAATATCGGGTGTGAATGCTGTGAGACATTCAATAATAGGTAAACGACGCTGTGGCCAATTGATTGGAAAACCTTCGGTTTTACACATATTGAACGTCATTACTGATACTCGTGAAACGTCCATGATCGAGCACTTATGAATGACGTTGACCAAATTTTACCTTGAGAAATCTTTTGTGAATTGAATAGTTAAATAGAACACAAACGATAAAAGGACGATAGAGATAAACGAAACATGTTGTTAGTTGATGTTAGATAACAGAAACGACTGAAATTTAGTGTAGTGATTCTTATTCCGTTATTTTATCAACTATAAATTGAAAAAATGTTTGATAAACATCGGAATGGTACGACGTGATTGATCATTTGAGAGAACTATTTATTGGATGTTTTTATATTAGAAAAAGAACAAATATGTTGAATATTGAGTAGCGATAGAGCTTTTCACTCGTCAAGTGTTGAGTGTCATCGATACTAGCAATAGGAATTACGTAAATAATGTTAATCAAGGCTCAGCTCCATCGTAGTCGTTCATCATCCATGGAAATGTCAGCCATTCCGAATTCAGCGAAAATGGAAACACTGCGGAATTCAACAGCTGAAGAAATATTATGTATTTGATTTATAATTACAAGACAACGGAAGATACACATTTCACAAAACACAACAAAAAATAAGAAGTCAATAAATGTAAGAAACAGTCATGGTAGATACTCAAAAAACTGTGCGAACTGAGAAGAAAGGGAAATTTTAGTTAGTTGTCCGGCCATTTTTTACGATATTTCTTCCATAAAACCGATTGTTGAGATGTTCATTTATGATAAATAACACGAATGAACCATGTCGTGTTGAGGAATACGATTAAGAACAGTAGTATAATACCATGCAAATAAACTTCTCAGTACGCTAAAATACGACTTACATGATAACAACCATCTTCCTCGCAGACATTCAATGTATACTTCGAATTAGGTTGACATGAATGAAAAAAAAACATCACTATGATATAGATCATATAAGCAAGAATGGAATATAAAGGTGCATAATCAATGAATTACCAAATGGAACAGAACGCAGGTGCAATGAAAGGAGTAAGTGACCAAAAAAGGAGAGAATTGGAAGTAGCGCGTACGCTAAAGTTTTTAGCCTTTGTTTTTTCGGCACTTCTAGCGATTGATTGCATATCAGATGCGAAATATCCTGTTTATTTCTTGTTTTCTATCTTATCTGTGTAATTATCATTATATTTCTAAAAGGAAATGTGTTTGACCGTACTCATTAACTCGTACTATAGTTTTGTCCTCATTAGGAAAAGTGAACACTCCGGCGTTGAAACTGATTATGAGGCGAACTTGCTCTGCGATTTCATACTTTGTAAAAGTTTGGAAAATCTGTAAAGATCTTTCCAAATAAAGTCGTTTGCAGCATGAATAGATATTTATTGTTTCATTAATGAATAAGCGAAAATAATGAAAGATAGGTCAATAAACAAAAGATGTGTCGGTGATTTGTTTCTTGATGGCTCGTCTTCTACAAATTCGAGAAAACGATTGTTTAAAGGCTTTTCGATAGCTCTTCGACGGACAGATAAATACCACAAAGATAAGTATTGATGGTGTAAACGAGATAAAATAACCAGTGAGATATAACCATAAACGATTAGAAATATTTGTGCATCCCGATAACAAAGAAATGATCAGCCGTGGAATCGATAGAACAAGCAGCATTGCAGGACAGTAGAGAAGTTGTTTATTTTCTCCGAGTTGTTCTCGAAAATGTTGTCCATTTTGAGTTTCTGCCCGTCGACGAACACTTCTTATAATAATGAATAATATCGAAGAAAAAAGATTTATAATGAATGGACCAAGATGATGAATGAATTGAATAGCTGTATTGTACTTTTGAATTGGTTGTGAATAAGTAGTTATACACCAGGAATGCCTATATAGCACAATTTCTTCTATGTCTAGTATGTGTTCCTTTATTACATAGTCTAATGTCTGACGGAGTAGTGGTTCATGAACAAGAGTGCTCATGATCACAATCGGTAAGATAAAGACGATCCATCGAGCAAAACATTTACTTTTCTCCTTATCAAAACTCACTCCTTTATAAGCGTTCACTGCACGTTCAATTGCCGCACAAGCTTGGAACCAAACATCGCAATAGAAAAATAATTTGAGAAGAGTCTCCATCGACTTACAACCACCTTGAAGAACTGACAAACGAATGGAGATGCTCATTTGTGTAACAATAACAAACCAGAATTTAATCGTAAACATCGTAATCGTCAGAAGAGAAGCAATCGATGATACCAAAAGGTACACACCACATCCAACTTGCCGAAAACTGTCATCTCGGAAAGTTAAAATCGAACAAAAACTGTTGATGACACCCGCGACAAACATAATCACTGTCAAAGCACCAGTGATTTCGATAACAACTGGTTGATCATAGATTGTTCTATTTTGATTCACTTCTAGTCGTAAAATATCATCGAGAGTGAAACCAATATCTTTGACTAGAACGTTACACGGACCACCAACATAACAATAAGTCGAACTGTCAACTAAACAGATTGTTGAAAGACAATCTCAATACTGATTATCTATGAGATAAAGTCAATCGACTTACCGAAGCGTTGAAGAATAACATTGGCCGGATTGCACACTTAATTGAAAATGGCATTGTTACCAGTGGCTGCAACGTTGTCACAAGTAATATATATATTTTATCAGATCGAAGGTAGAATTGATATGTTACTTCACTGTCAAAACGATTATTGGTTTTGAAGGAAAAAACAAAATTCTTATGGGGATTCAATGGATCGAAATGATTTTCATAGATATAGATGTCTATAGCAGTAATTCTATCAATTGAAAATCTATAATATGTATCGGCGAGTACAGTTAATTGTATAGTTTCGTAATAATAAAAGGTATGTGTACATCCTTTACTATATGTTTGACTATCTCTCGTCAATGCCGATGAATAGTTCGAGTAAGTAGCTAATGAAAAATCGAATGAGAAAGACTTAAATGTTTATATAGTTTATGTTTTTCTTCTACTCACATGTCAGTTCAAAATTGGTATTGTGTTTGGCAAATATTTTGCATTTGAAGCCCACTGTTGAATCTCCTACGCATGTTGTAACAACCATTATGTATCGAATGTCCTTCAGAAGTTCAACAGTTATCGGAGGCAAATCATTAATGTCACAAATACTTCTACGCATGAGTAGATTTTCAGATCGGTTGAGTACATTGAAGTCATGTTTATAGAGAGAGAACGATATACCCATGCTCATGTTTTCGACGGTAAGCCAAATAGAATAAGAATCACTTTTAATCACATTCAATTGCACTGGTTTATAATAGTAGTTCGGGTTCCTTCCACCGGAATTAGTGGAAGAATAATTTTCATCATTTTGCGCCACTACAGTCGTGTATGTTGATTCAATGCCTTGTTTGATATCTATTTAACAGGAAAATGTCGTCTATGGTCTTCTTGAAGAATGTATATTACTTATACGTTCAAGACGAGCTGCATTTGAACCGAAGGTAGTAACTGAGAATGGCCCTGTGACATGTTGATTGTATGTCGTTACAACCAAAATGTATTTCGTATTGACAAGAAGTTCAAGTGTAAATTTGAATTGATCCTTATTGCAATATTTGCCGTACCATGCAATCAGATTGTTCGTAGGGTTGAATGGATCAAATTGATCTTTGTATACATGACCGTAAAGGTCAATACTACTGTTGCCGGTGAGTATGTAGAAGTCATTTTTACTGACAATGACTGCAATGGCTTCGTAGTAGTAATTTGAACGATTGAATCTAACACGTGAATACATGTCATGATTTTCTGTTAGAATAGATGAATAAGTTGATTGAGTGTCTGATGAAACATTTTCTAAATAAAAGAAAATCGAATCCTTACGAGATAATAACTATGAACAATACTCACTACAAGAATCTTTCTGTAAATGAAATTTTTGTACTCGATCACTGCCTGAATCGTAAACGAACATATTTCCATGTACATCAAAACTAAATTTGGTTGGCATATCCAACTGATGAGCTTGTTTACCATCCCTATTGCATCCGACTAGACATCGAAAACCGTTTGGTCCTGATGCAACAATACGATGATTTCCACTATCCGATATAAAAATATATTTGTCAGCGTCTAAGGCAATTGAGTGTGGACGAATTAGTTCAACCGTGATATCCATTGAACTTTGTCCTGCTACCGTTTTTCCGCTTTTTTCACCGAAAACAAAAAGTTGCACTCGATGATTTTCTGAATCTGCCACATATAAATCGAAATTTGTATCAACAAATATTCCTATAGGATAAAACAATTCATTCAGACTTGAACCTTCTTTACCTGTGCTAGCTACAGGCACCATCTCCATATCATCATCTAAATATTTTCTGACAACAACATGTTCGTAAGATGATGAACAGTATAAATAATTATTAACATCGATAAAAAGACTAAAACATCCTGTTGCAACCTTCATAAAATGAGCAGAACTATTTGTACTTGACATCCATTTCATGATTTCGCCATCAAAAAAACTGATATAAATTTCCCCAACGTTCGATACGAACATAGACGTAAGTTCGCACTCTTTCTCTTCACAAATGGTCATTGAGTAAGTCTTGTATCCGCGCCAAACAAAAATCTGAGGTACCCTATAAGCACTAATGTAAATGGATGTTTTCATTATCAATAAATATATCGACACTGTTCGTTTCAAGCACATTCGCGTTGATAAAGGTCATTGCATCTCGATCCCATTTGTCTGTTGGACAGAAATTTGGTTGATTCAACGAAAGTCCTATACAATGAAAACTTTACATTTAGTGATCAATACTGTTGAATAGAATTAATTACCTAATATTCCATCGATGAGAATCAGAAAAAAAACAACAAGCGCCATATTCAATGGAATATGTGAAGATAGAAATGGTTGTGTGTAGAATTTTATATTCTGATGTCTTTTTATGATTGATGTGATTAAATGTTCTCTTTTGTCACGGCTCACTTCAATGATATTCTTTACCTATTTTTCATGTTCAAAACAGTCTTCTGATAAAGATTGATTGTGAACAGAATTACTCTTAATAACTAAGAAAAGTCATTGAAAATCTTTGATCGATGAAAATGAAATATTATTTTTATTATGACGCTATGAATGTCAATGACGCAGTTACCAGTTTCTTGCCGTTGTTTGTCTCATTGAATTAAAATACGAAAATTCTACATTCTTCTTTCATCAACTCATCATTTTACGTCTCATTTCATAATGCTGTCTATTGTATAAACCAGTTTCAACTCTGGATTTGCTGTCAGATATGTAGCGTCACGCAAATCGAGTGATTGCTTAAATAAAAATATTTTCTGTTAATCAATACTTATGATTCATTTGCAAATGTTTATTTCTATTTTCGACAAAGTTAGTTTTAATAAATAAGTGTCTTCCGAGATGACTTTATCTGTAAGACTTTCTGTAGTTTTTCTTCTTCACAAATAATTTATCGACGAGGTCTGAATTTGCGATGAATAATTGTGATTCACCTGAAAAAATATCATATTTACCAAAAGAAGAAATGACCGATTTGTTTTCATTCGAGTAAAAGTCACGATCAGTTATTTTATGTTGTTTGATATCATTGATGTCAATATGAAAGAAAAATAAATGTTGCCGAGATTTTCTCCTCATGTAGATGAGAATGAGTGATGTTTGAGGAGAAAACTGTGACTTCTACTGAGAACTTTTTGTAACAAATTCTGTAGCTCTGAAATAGGTAAATGTGCAACTTTAAAGTTATTCGGATGTTTATCGAAGAATTTACCAGGTTATTCGTTCATTGATTATCTCTCATTCATCTGATCGGAACAATCCGGTATTGTTTTCAACGCATGGAGGAGTTCTAAGAACGATTTTATATCATTTTGATTACCAACAAGGATTTCGATGGAAAGTATCGAATTGTGCTTTGATTAAACTGCAAGTTTGTGTTGATGGCCAAATTTCTATTAAACAATTAGATGGAATTCAACTTATCAAAGACGAACATGTTTTATCTTCGTTTTAAAAGGTTTTTCTTCATTCTTTGAAATATAATATATTCGAATTACAGAAAGAGAAGAATTAATATCATCTGGTATTTCATAGAATATCACTTCTGTTTATTAGGTATTGTGCTGACATTTGAGAATTACGATGTCACATGTATCTTTAGTAAACTTCATATAAGGTGCTCCCAAGTCAAAACATGAGCAAAATTTTTTTTTCTTTATTTTTTTACATGGATGGATAGAGCTCGTCGAGCTGATCACGAATATTACCTTTAAAATATTTTTTGGTCGCACTTTGGCTGAAAAATTTTCGAAATACAAAAATNAATTTTCATTTAAATCACCCATAAATAAAACAGCTAGATAAGGATTATTGAATCGAGTAATCAATTCATCTAGAGCACTAACTGTACGACGTGTTTGTTGCTTACGCAGATTAATATCTGTTTTGCGTTCTTCTTCATGTCCTTCCCAAGTATAATGGGCAGTCGAAACAAGTATTTCCTTTCTATTTTGTTGATTGGTTTCATTTGATGTCGATGATTTGATGGATAATCGTGCCCAAAACAAGCGTCTCAATGGTTCCATTATACCAATATCGACCATTCCGTAGTCTAACATGGTGAACATATTCGAATTCCAATAGATATTACCTTCATTCTGCCATCCAGCAAACTCATCTTGAATGAAAGCATGTGTTGGTAAAGCTTCGACAATGGTATCATGTAGTAATGGATGCAGTTCTTGTATGCAGAGAATATCGGGTGTGAATGCTGTGAGACATTCAATAATAGGTAAACGACGCTGTGGCCAATTGATTGGAAAACCTTCAGTTTTACACATATTGAACGTCATTACTGATACTCGTGAAACGTCCATGATCGAGCACTTCAAAAAACGTTGACCGAAGCTTACCTTGAGAAATATTTTGTGAATTAAAAAGTTAAATAGAACATAAATGATAAAAGGACGATAGAGATAAGCAAAGCATGTTGTTGGTTGATATTAGATAATAGAAACGACTGAAATTTAGTGTAGTGATTCTTATTCCGTTATTTTACCAACTATAAATTGAAAAAATGTTTAATAAACATCGGAATGATACACTGCGATTGATCATTTGCGAGAGCTATTTATTGGATGTTGTTATATTATAATAAAAAGGACAAATATTGAGTGACGATAGAGCTTTTCACTCGAAAAGTGTTGAGTACCCTCGATACTAGCAACAGGAATTACGTAGATAATGTTAATCAAGACTCAGCTTTATCGTAGTCGTTCATTATCTATGGAAATGTCAGTCATTCTGAATTCAGTGAAGATAGAAACACTTTGGAATCCATCAGCGGCAATTCAACAGCTGAACAAATATTATGTATTTGATTTATAATTACAAGACAATGGAAGATTAAATAAAGTTTCCAGCAAGATAAAATACGACTTACATGATAACAACCATATTCCCCGCGGACATTCAATGTATACTTCGAATTAGGTTGACATAAATGGAAAAAAAACATCACTATTTTATAGATCATATAAGCAAGAATGGAATATAAAAGTGCATAATGAACAATGATTCTCTTCAAATGCATAATCAATGAATAACCAAATGAAACAGAACGTAGGTGCAATGAAAGGAGTAAGTGACCAAAAAAGGAGAGAATTGGAAGTAGTGCGTGCGCTGAAGTTTTTAGGCTTTGTTTTCTTTTCATTTCTAGCTTATCTGTGTAATTACTGTTATATTTCTAAAAGGAAATGCGTTTGACCTTACTCATTAACTCGTACAACTACATCGTCAGACGCATGTACACAGAGTGCAGATTATTGCTGAGTGTAGATGAATGTCGGTGAAGCAGAAAATATACAAAACACAATTCTATTCTTTAAATTTGTGATTAGCTTTGTTCTCATTAGGAAAAATGAATACTCCGGCGTTGAAACTGATTAAGAGGCGAACTTGCTCTGCGATTTCATATTTTGTAGAAGATCTTTCCAAATAAAGTCGTTTGCAGCATGAATAGATATTTACTGTTTCATTAATGAATAAACAAAAATAATGAAAGATAGGTCAATAAGCAAAAGATGTGCAGGTGATTTGTTCCCTGGTGGCTCGCCTTCCACGAATTCGAGAAAACGATTCTTTAAAGGCTTCTCGATAGCTCTTCGACGGACAGATAAATACCACAAAGATAAGTATTGATGGTGTAAACGAGATAAAATAACCAGTGAGATATAACCATGGGCGATTGGAAATATCTGTGCATCCCGACAACAAAGAAATGATCAGGCGTGGAATCGATAGAACAAACAGCACTACAGGACTATAGAGAAGTTGTTTATTTTCTCCGAGTTGTTCTCGAAGGTGTTCTCTATTTTGAGTTTCTGCCCGTCGACGAACACTTCTTATAATAATGAATAATATCGAAGAAAAAAGATTTATAATAAATGGACCAAGATGATGAATGAATTGAATAGCTGTATTGTACTTTTGAATTGGTTGTGAATAAGTAGTTATACACCATGAATACCTATATAGCCCAATTTCTTCTATGCCTAGTGTGTGTTCGTTTATTACATATACGAATATCTGACGGAGTAGTGGTTCATGAACAAGAGTGCTCATGATCACAATCGGTAAGATAAAGACGATCCATCGAGCAAAATATTTACTTTTCTCCTTATTAAAACTCACTCCTTTATAAGCGCTCACTGCATGTTCAACTGCCGCACAAGCTTGAAACCAAACATCGCAATAGAAAAATAATTTGAGAAGAGTCTCCATTGACTTACAACCACTTTGAAGAACTGACAAACGAATGGAGATATTGATTTGTGTAACGATAACAAACCAGAATTTAATCGTAAACATCGTAATCGTCAGAAGAGAAGAAATCGATGATACCAAAAGGTACACACCACATCCAACTTGCCGAAAACTGTCATCTCGGAAAGTTAAAATCGAACAAAAGTTGTTGATAACACCCGCGACAAACATAATCACTGTCAAAGCACCAGCGATTTTGATAACAACTGATTGATCATGGATTGTTCTATTTTGCTTTATTTCTGGTCGTAAAATGTCATCGAGAGTTAAACCAATATCTTTGACTAGAACGTTACACGGCCCACCAACATAACAATAAGTCGAACTGTCAACTAAACAGATCGTTGAAAGACAATCTCACTACTGATTATCTATGAGATAAAGTCAAGCGACTTACCGAAGCGTTGAAGAATAACATTGGTCGGATTGTACACTTTAATTGAAAATGCCGTTGTTACCAGTGGCTTTGACGTTGTCACAAGTAATATATATAAAATATCAGATCGAAGGTAGAATTGATATGTTATTTTACTGTCAAAAAGATCATTGGTTTTGACGGGAAAAACAAAATTCTTATAGGGATTCAATGGATCGAAATGATTTTCATAGATATAGATGTCTATAGGAGTAATTCTTGAGGGTGAAATTTGACCATCCGACAAACTGATTGCTCGATTGTAGAGGCCTCTTCTACTACCTTGGTCGAGAATGTCGAAGATGCGTGCAATGTCAAATTCTTGTTCCTGATTATTGTCTAACATGAATACTTGCAAGAAATCATCCCATGCCAATTTCGGAACTGATGAAGAAATATTTGCTACAATAGAATGAATAAACAAAAGATTACATAAGTAATATAATTTTAAGAATAAATTGTCCTAACCTCGTTGGTACTCTTTTTGGGTTATTCTACGAGAATGAATAGTTGTGCAGGAAAGGAGAAGTTTGCTATTTATTTAATACAATTCAACCGAGAGAATTGACATGAATGGACTTACTTGGTCTTACGAATTTCCGATAACGTTTCATACCACGAGTATCTAATATTTTTAACAAGCAAACAAGGCAACTAACTACGATATGTAATGAAAATGATATACTCATAATCAGGGTGTGAGGGTGTGGGTGAGGGTGAGGGTGTGGGGGGTGTGGGTGTGGGGGGTGTGGGTGTGGGTGTGGGTGAGGGGTGGGTCTGAGTAAGGTAGAAAGCAATAAAGACACCTCACCCATACGCCCATACCCTTTTAACAAAATTGAAAAAGAAATTATAATTTCTGTTAATTTTATCTTGATGATAAAGAAAGAGAGGAAATTGAACTAAACATACACTCATCCACAAAAACTTTTCTCATTGATTAAAAACATAAAATAAGTGGCATTAGCGCCTCATGTTTTTCAAAAATGAATCGGATTTCGAACCATGATTATGGTTCCAATTTCGATTAACAAAGTTGAGAAAAACTTAAATGAAGTCGTTACAATTTTATCATGTTGTCCTTAAAGAAAAAAAAAGTGTTGATTAATCAATTGAAAATCAAAATCGAAGTCGAATGAAAAATAATTTTTTAATAAATAATATCAGAGCCGCTCGGTAAGCATCTGATGGTAAAATAAAAGCAACAAATATTGACATCGATGGAATAAATCCAATTAAATAAGTAAATAAACTTAAATGAAGACGTTTATCAAGTTTAGTACAAATAGATTTAAATATTGATATAATTCGAGGAAGAGAAAAACATCCTAAAATGATTCCACTTAATAATATATGTTTATGTTTCATTATTTGCTTTCTTAGTGTTTTTGAACGAAGTTTTTCTTGACTTTTTTTATCCATATCTGTTATGATTGTTGAATTTAATTGTTGTTTAAAACGAAATGTTATTATTATTATTATTATAGAACTTATTAGATTAATAACAGTAGGTAAAAGAAATAAAAGTACATTTGATATAACATAAAACCTAAATAATATTGCTTGTTGTTCATAATTAAGAGTAAGAATACACCAAGTACGTTTATCTTCTTGATCAATTATCATTCGACGATAAATTAATTCGGGTAGACATATTAAACTAATTAAAGTAATCAGAATAAAAATGATCCATTTGGAAAGTTTTTTACTTATAACGCGAGAAAAACGTGCTTTTTTCTTGACCGCCCATGTTCGTTCAATAGCAACACATGTATTTAACCATTCATTATTTGTTGAAGAAAACTTTAAAAAATATTCGATAAATGAACAACTAAGATTGTTTTGTCGATGATATAATAATAAGAAAAGTTTAATCATTAGAAAAACAAATGTAAAAAGAGCAAAACATGATGAAGTTAATAAATAAAGGCCAGAACCAGTTCCTTGTGTGGTTTTATCTAGAAATGTTCCAATCGACAATAGATTCAAAATAATTCCAATCATAATCACTATAAGCATTATTATAAAGCTTATTTGAATAAGTTTTGTTTGTTGGAATAGACTTGTAATATTTGGTTGAATGTGTGAAGCAAGAATTGAATCTAATGAAATTAAATACGTATTACTAGAAAATTGACAAGAAGATCCATAATAACATTTTCGACAAATACATATTGAACTAGTTGGACATAAATAATGATTTTCAACACAAATTCCTCTATTACTACATTTATTCCACGGACATCCATTTTCGTTTAAATATAAATTAAAACAATTGAGATGATTTGTTTTATCACATAAACAAATCATTTGTTCATCATAAAAACATGTTAATTGATTTTGAAAATTTTTCTTTAAACATATTGTTTGATAATTTTTTATACGACGCATATACATTTGTTTACGAATTGTTTTATTAAATAATTCATTTATTGATTGACATCGATTGGATTGATTAGCTGTACTTATAATTTCTTTTGATGTTTCATTGAGTTCTTGTTTTAAACTTAATAGATAATAATTAACATGATCAAGATCTTCGAACAGTCTAAGAAAAACAATTAATCCATGAAATTGATTTTCATCCATATCATATTCAAAATAAAATGTAGAATTAAATAAATTTTCTTCAAGTCGATTAAATGAAGTTAAATGTAGAGCGTCACGATATTTTTGAGCTATAATTAAATGAACAAATGCAATTGATGATGACAATACAATCGAATCTTTGGAAAAAAAAACATTAATTCGAAATTTTATTCTTTCACATCGATCACCAAACCAATTTAAATCACAAATACATTGATATTTATTCGAACGTTCATCATTTTGAATACATTCTCCATGATTATTACAACTATTTTTATCACATGGATCATATGGGATAAGACACCGAGAACCAATGTGAGTTATTGGACATACACATATATCTCGATCTAAATTTCTATCATATCCAAGATAAACTGAATTATTTGAACATAAATTTGATTTATTCTTTGAGATTGTTAATGATACAGACTGAGATATGATATCATTAGCAGATAAAAATAATCGTTTGACTATTTGTTGTACAGGTAAGAAATTAAATGGAACAGAATATATCCATGATGTTTTATATTCAAGTGTTAAACCTGTAAATAGATGAATTTCAATTGAATCATTCAATGATAATGATAAAGAATCTTCAACTGGATAAGCTAAATGTGTGATATATTTAGGTAAACAATATTCAAATGGAATATAAAGAAATTCTTCATGTGATAATATAGATTTTGTTTCATTTTGACGTACTAATAAAATAACAAATTTTAATGTTGGAGATAAATGATTAAATGGACCTATTATTTGTACTTGAAATATTAATGTTAAGCGCTTTCGTTGATATTGACAACGATCTCCATAGTAATGTGTTGGACAAAGGCAAATAAATCCCGATGGACTTTCAGAAGAATAAACGTATAATCCACGATTACAATAAAAAGCTAGAAAATTATTTGATGCCGATCTCAATCGATTAGGATATTCTTCCATATTTATTAAAGAAATACTTTCACTAAATATTTCATCAATTAATTCACAAAAAAGTTCATCTTCTCCATCAGTACAATGAAAATTCATTCCATCACATCGAGAATTAAGTAAAGGATAATCGACAATTTTCCCGTTTCGACATCGAAGTGTAGATGAATCACACCAAGGTTCTTGTCCATTATTAAACCATATACAAGCTATTGTTTCATCATCATTCAAAGGACAATCTTGATGACAATCGCATACTTGAAATGGTGAAATACATTGATCAGAATTTTTACATCGATATCGACGAACTTTTTCATACGGATATTTTATACGACAGAAAGATCGTTCATCAACTGAACCTACACAATTTAGAATTCCATCATTAACTTTTCGTTCAGATAAACATATTGGAAAACCAGTGTTTGCATCCAAGCAAAAATGTGTTGTTTTATTACAATGACGTGAAGCTAAATTTGGTTTCCCACATCCTAATTCATCTTCTCCATTTGGACAATTCCAAATATTATTGCATGTTCTAACATATGTATGACAAGGCCATTCGTCAAGATCACAATCCGACTCATCTGTATTACCGTCCAAGTCAGGTTCATGTTCAACAATACCATTACAAATTTGTTCAAAAGGAATTTTGAATTGACGTGATTCACGTCGAAAAGAACGACAATCGTCCAAATATACGTCAAAACATAAATTTTGCATTGCTGGAGTTTCATCACTTCCATCAGCACAGTTTTTCTAATGATGAAAAATATTAGTGTCAAACTTCAATTCATCTATTCAATTGTTCCAATTTTGCGATATTAATTTTTCAAATCTTTCAACTATTTGCACTGGATCAATTAAGTTTAGTGGAACGCTTTGCTATATATACATATATAGGGTCGAACATGGATCACGCCTTGTTAGGATTTGCATTTTCTAAATGTCATACGACATTGTTTCCTCAAGATTTTTTCATAAAGTTTTTGTTGCTTTAAAGATTCTTCAAGACTTTGTCATTGGACAGATACCCTTCAATCGAATTCAAACTTCAAGTTCAACATTTGTGTCATCCAGAATGGTTTTCCTCAAGTTGCTCAAGCAGTTATTCGATGAGTGCTTCGAGGTGTCGACCTGAACATAATCCAATGCATTCTTTGTCTGCGAATAGTCTCGAGAATCTGAGTTACTCAAGATCTTGAGACATTTTGAGTGCTATACAACTAAACTCATTACGAATACTTTTTCTCAAGACTATAAAACATATTTCTGTCGCTATTCTAACTGTAAGTGGCGAATAATATTATTTGAATAATCAGACTATGTAAAAGTACGTGTAGAAAATCAAAATTCTTTAAATGCATCCCACAACAAAAAATATAAAAATCATTAAAAAAACTGAATTTCTCAAATGTTTTTAGCAATGAAAGTTAAAAACGAACAATCAAAATTATGCGTCTTGATATACCTGTTGCGCTAACATTTGATGTTGAACTCTTGCAACTGCTTATTCTAATCTTTAGATGGACTTCAACGTACTGAAAGATGTTTGAATAGTCGAAAATAAATATATGATAAGACAATGCTTTCGAAGGGTCAACGTTCCATAACCATCATGGGCTGTGAAGGTCGAGCAGAACAAGAAAAAAAATGTATATTCAAAATCCAATCACTCGTCGGGATCGAGATCAGAAAAAAATTTACCATGATCGAAAATGGGATGTGTGAATAGGTGGCATCCTTCATTTCATTACTTTTCAAATGTAGTTTTTCGTACTTCATCAATTAATTTCCTACTGTCAGACTGATATCTTTTAATACAAAAACAAATCATATTATCATCATTGTAAAATATGCTAGGCTAATATTGATCTAGCCGCCAGAGTCGATATCCAAACTAATTTGTTGAGAAAACTGATATTATCGAACTCAAGTATTCAGTAAAAAAACACGCGTGATTTTAATCAAGGCACTGTATAAATCATACTAATCACGATGAAATTGAAGAAAAACTAGAAAGTATTCATGCTTCGCCTAAATGCAAAATACGGTGCGACGAGTTTTTGGGAAGATAGGAGGAAGTGTATGCTATTGAACGTTTATTTTCCAGTTAGTGTACAAGTCGATAGTTCCTGAGATCGTTGGAAATATTTTTCGGCTAATACAGAGAGCTTTTTATAGGAGAAAATTAAATAAAAGATTCGCGTAAAACCTTGTATAATGATGTCGCTGCATTAAATCATCGTTTTATCAACTAATCATAAAATACAAACAAACTATCCTTTTGGCGCCTATACTCCGATTTTAATTATCTTAACAATGTAAAATGCATGTGCCATGATTTACCGTTAGGTCCATGTTTTATTTTGGGCAAACTAATGGTAAAAGTGGAATTCGAATTAAAAAATGAGCATCTACATAGTCATAGCTCCTTAACAGCCTTTGTTCGGAAGGCTAATGACGCTCCGTTCTCTAGATCATCGAGCCACTTAAAATGGACTTTGGACGGCTTGTCGAGAAAGAGAAAAGATCATAATAATAAAAAGACGCGAAGAAACTCAATAATACGATGCTCCTTAAGGTCGCACCGTANCTGGACGTCGTGGAACATCTCATTCGATAGAGCATCAAAAGATCTATCGAACCATGTATGCGCCGTCGGGCGGGAGTAAGGTTTCACCGAGATAGGGTCTCCAGAAAACTTACATGGGTTTTTGAGAAAATAAAATTTTTTTTTTGGTGAAATTGGTTAAAATATATGTGAAAAAAGAATGTTTTTTAAATGTTGACGTAATAGTACGTACGAGATTTCCTGTCTCTTGTAACAGGTTGGATTCACGGAATTCGTAATTTTCATCAATTTGATTCTCTAATGGTGATTTGTATCGATTTCCGTGCAACATCCAGTAGCTTAGACTCAAAAACATTTGCTCTTTAACTCGTTCTTCCGCATCTTTTTCTTCTTCTCATGCTTCCAAAACTAGGCTTTTCTTATTATAAAATTATTAACATTGCAGTACTGACCTATTAACACATGTATCAATGAAAAATTGCATAGATCTGAGATAGTTCTCCAGAGATCTTTATATAATCTTGATAGATACAAGGAATCTTTTACGTATTATTACGGCATCATCTATAAAACAAAGTTTTCTCACATATTTTTGGTCCAATTTCAGAAAAAAAATTTTTAATTTTTCAAAAACCCATGTAAGTTTTCTGGAGACCCTATCTCGGTGAAACCTTACTCCCGCCCGACGGCGCATACATGGTTCGATAGATCTTTTGATGCTCTATCAAATGAGATGTTCCACGACGTCCAGAGTTCTCTAGTTATGGAGATTTCGAGCCTGGAATACTAGGCGGTTGAAAAGGGTTTCCAGAGTCCCATGGTTCTGAGACAAATCCAAAAACTTATGAAAAGGAGTGATTCTGATAGCCCTGATCATGAGGAATCCAAATATATCGTCAAAAGTTCTATAACACAAAGTGGTGCAAAACTATGCGCGTTGGAAAGAAAAAGGTACTTTGAAAATCCGTTCCGAAAGGTACTTAGTATTTGGGCTACAGCTCTTGAACAAAACGTGGTAGGACTTTCGTCGAAGAGCAAAAAAGTCTTAGAATTGATTGTTCTATTAGTCCTGAAAGTTTCAAGCGATTTGGTGAATGTTGTGTATATCGTGTCACAAGTCCCATGGAATCACCCTTAGCTCTCTCTCTCTCTCTCTCTCTCTTTAAGTCGATCTGAAGACTCAAACAGCTGTGAGTGCAGCAAAGGTCGAGTGAATTTGACTTTTCATTTGAATATAGATTTCAGGAATTATGCACGAATTTGGTTTGAGTTTCTCATTAAATGGCCAAATACAAAGAATTTGGTAAGATATGTTCCCATCAAAAGTGATTTATTTTAATGTGTGTACAGTGCAACTAGGAAAAATGCTGATATCTGAGCTAAACCCGAATTCAACAAGCTTGCTTATAAATCCAAAGTTCTTTTTCTGGCTGTACCGCACGCTTAATAAAGTACGTTGTTCTTGGTGCCACTGTATCTCATTAAATCCTTTCAAATTAGGATCATATGAGACTAGATTCGAACCTAACATTTCAGATTCAACTCACACCCAAATCTATTCTCAAATTCAAAGCAAATCATAGCAAAATTCAAGATTTTGACTTGATTGCATTCATAGGATAAACTAATATAAGTGATACCGGAACTGGGACCAAAGAAAACGTGATCCCGCACATGTCTAGACGTGACATCACTGACAGGTCAGTTCTAGGAAAATCTGTCTGTCGAAATCAGGAAAATGGATAAAAATATACTTACAATTCTGTTAGCTACCGCCCATGGATGAATGCATCGTGTTCCCGAATCACATGTGAATCGATAGGAATGATTTAGTGTACAAGTATTATTTTGACGTTCATCTTCACCATTCGAACAATCTTCGTAACCATCTAACAGTCGATGATGTGATAAACATTTACTGCCATCAGTACACTGGAAGGACAAACATTGATCGAACTCTTGGATATGAGGTAGCAGTGAACATGAACGCACTAGACGTTTGACATCATGAACTGGATTTGTGAATGTTTGATTATTTAACAATTGGCATGTTGAACCATTGATTGACATGATGTTTGCAGTGAAGTAATCATTTTTGAAAAGATACGGACACAATGATTCGTTATAGCAAATCAATTCTGGCTTATTATCTTTGTACACAAGCGTCACATGAGAAAACAAGATAAGTGTTGATGGCATCATTTGTTTCAAATAAAGGCGATCTCGTTGTGACGCACATGAGTTTTTATCATTAATATTGGGTCCATCATAACAATGACCATCTCCACAAGAAAACCACATTGAAGGACACCATCGTTCTTCACATTGTATACCAAAGTTATGGAAACATGATCGTGCAGATGTAAACTTCTCGTCTGAATGATCCGCACAATCAGGATATTGATCACGATAGAATACTTTATCAATACATTGTCCATTGAGACAACGATATTCATTTGTTTCATCGCATTCATTCAACTCGAGTTTATTACAATTCTGTTCATCAAATCCATTCGTACAATCGATTTTGCCTAGAAGAAAACTACATCATTCTTACGATGAAATGTGCTTAGATGTTCAGTCATTTCGATTCCATTATTTAGGATTAAAGCACAAATTAAAAATAAGAGTGAAAGAAAAACTCTTTTGTTTAAACAAGAAATTATACGAATCCTTCGAATGTCTCTTGTAGGCATTAAATGTTTGCCGTGATTTGTTTTAAGTCAGAAATTTTTCTTAGTTTATATCTAGAGGTGTACACTGATCCGTTCGTGGGATTCTATCTTGGATTTCAATTCAAAAAAATAGTTGTGATTTATTGCTGAATTTTTCTCACTCTAGATTTCGCATGAACCATTTCATAGTTCTGAATTAGACAATAAAACTGTCATTGTTTTTCTTTACGCAGGCAAAAAATTCGAAGGCGATTCACTTTCGACAATAGTTAAAACTTAAAATATCTCGATATTTTTGTCACTAGCTCTATTCATTGAACTCTGTGGCTTTACACAACATGATTTTCGACGAAAATTCACAGTGGAATCTAAACGAAGTGATACAAATCTTGCGAAGATTCTTAAAGAGCTTACTTCTTTATCCTTCGAAGATCTTTTTAACATACCTCTATCAATGCAATTTGACGAGCTGATTTCGAATATCATATTAGTTTTGCGTCGAAATATTTACATATTTACACGACTGGCCAATTTACGACAAAAGTCTAGTCTTTTAAGGTACGTGTTACTCGACTGTTATGCACTATTGTAAGGTGATGCTGTGATTAACAATACCCAGGTCGATCATTCCGGCGACTGGATCCGTTGGAATCTGAGTCGGTTCCGGTACAGCTTTTCTCGATTCCGGCACAGTTTTCGCCGACTCCAGCAGGGTCCGCCAAATTCCTTGCCGCCGGATTCCGGCAGGAATTACGCGGGAAATATCCGATCAGTTTGTGATCGTTTCCGACTCGAAGTTTGCAGGAAACGGTTAGAAAACTACTGGAACCTACGTTTGAACTTCCGGCTGGAATCCGGTGGCAAGGAAATCGTCGGAAAACAAACTTAACCGGCCGGAACCGACCAAGCCATAATGGCCTGGGTACGTCAAGCATAGACATAGGGAAATAGTGTGTGAAAGTTTTAGCTTAATTGAATTCAAACCCTCTGTAGCGTTCACAAAAATACGACATGACATGTTTTTCGACTTACTTTTGACTCCGTCATCTGCCTTTTTCTATTCCATTTTGCATGCAAATGAGAAAAGTCTTTTTGTGTACTGAAAAATTGAGTATACTTTTGAAATCGGTCAGTGCGTCGGCCCGTTTATCCAATAACTCTCCAAAAATACATGCTATTAAGCTCAAAACCTTCGGCGTAGCATTGTCTCATCAATATCTCGGTCGAGTTCGAAGATGAGAAGATTCGGCCAAGAAATAGCTGAGTTATCCAAGAAACTCTGAAGATTCACCCGTCCACTCTTGAGACGGTATTACACATGAGATGCCTAATTCGACTTATATTATAAGTCCACCCCCGACAGGCAAGTATCAATTCGAATATAAATAGATATCGATATAACCCTTATAACAAGTGACTAGATAGGAATAGAAATAGAAATAGATTTAGTTTCAGTTATACATATACACACCCACACCCTCACTTATATCTATCTCGATTGAGGGTGCCGCGGTGGGTGTGGACACGAACATATCTCGATTGAGGATGCTTCGGTGGGTGTGGGTATATATGTATAAGTAAAACTAAATCTGTGTCTATTCCTAAAATCACAGGGGTGTGGGGGTATGTATGTATATGTAAAACTAAATCTATTTCTATTGCTAAACTCACAGGGGTGTGGGGGTATGTATGTATAAGTAAAACTAAATCTGTGTCTATTGCTAAACTCACAGGGGTGTGGGGGTATGTATGTATAAGTAAAACTAAATCTATTTCTATTCCTAAAATCACAGGGGTGTGGGGGTATGTATGTATAAGTAAAACTAAATCTGTTTCTATTGCTAAACTCACAGGGGTGTGGGGGAATGTATGCATAAGTAAAACTAAATCTATTTCTATTCCTAAGGGTGCTAGGAATTGGTGACTTATATTATAAGTCGAATTAGGCAGCTACTCGTATTACAGTTGTATTACAGAAAACGCTTGAGAAATAAAACCGGTAATCACGAAGTCAAATCAAAATGGTTTTGGAATTTGAAAAAGTGGAACTTAGGACCGACTAACCAGACAGAGTTTCTATAAGTCCATGCGCGGACATACTGTGGGCTGAGTCTCAAACTCTGTGGATGCACTTTTTCTGCCTAGGTTCTAGCAAAGAACCAGTACCAAATAGTTAGCAACCTGGATTAACAAAAGAAAATTTTCTGAGATTCCTGTACCCTTAATTAAATTTGTTTGAGTTGGTGAGAATATGAGTGCACTTCTAGAATTAGTTGTAGTGTACAGCCGTCAGCGTGAACATTCATTTACTTGATAAACCGTTGAAAGAAGACTCCGATTAATACGAAGTTTTCTGTGCAATATAGGCTTATCAAAATGTTAATCATGATCGAAGCGAAATCTAATTGGCCGAGCGTTCCGTGAATGGTTGTAAGTTGATTGACTTTTCTCAAACATTTTTGTAGCAGACAAAACTTTCGGATAAAATTCGAAGTTTCCGTATTTATTTCGCTATACAGTCAGTGGAATAATCATTCTCTTAAGATAGGCTTCAAGTTTAAAATCCTTCAGCAAACTAGTACAAGGAATGTTTTCCATAAAAATTACCGGTTTATCAACGGTTGTATTATTATAGACTCTAACAACATTCGAGTGGGCTTTTCGAAGTTTAGTTTTGTTGTAAGGCAGATCAACCATCAACATATTCATTTCAGTACTTAAACTTGAGACAATAGGGTTAGTGATTATGCTCGTCTAATTATCCGTTGTATAAGGGTGGTACCTTAATTCTAATTTTTCTCATTTTAATTTATTAAAGTAAAGTACTTCAACATTATAGTTGAAGTTTAAAGTACTCTTTGGACGTCAAACTTTAATTAAAGGGTTTTTTAAACTTAATGCGTTCGACAGTTACTACAGCTCAGTGAGTAGACATGCACTAGAAGTGAACTTAAGTTTTCGTTTTGATATCAGGGAGTTTACGTCCAGGCTCGAATATTTTGAATTTCTTTGAGCTTCCAGTTTTTGAAACGTTTGTTTTATTTTATGTAGTCTTATTATAAACATTTCCGAAACTCCTTCTTTTATTTCATTTCTACACGCTCCTATCGATTGCTCAAAAAATGACCGAACTCGAGAGTGATGTCATAATCCCGTTACACCCGGTATTCATCCAAAAACAGACAATTCACTGCGTTACCATATGCAGCTGAGTCAGGGTATCCAACACGATACCCAAGTAGACCTGTATCCTGAAAAGCTGAGGAATATGAGTGAATTTCGCGTATCCAGCCACCACCCTCACCCTCACTTACACCTTCACCCACACCCTCACCCCACCCCACACCCTCACCCTCACCCTCACCCTCACCCACACCCTCATCCACACCCTCATCCACACCCTCACCTACATCCTCACCCTCACCCTCACCCTCACCCACACCCTCATCCACACCGTCACCCACACCCTCATCCACACCCTCACCTACACCCTCACCCTCACCTTCACCCTCACCCACACCCTCACCTTCACTTACACCCTAACCTCATTTGAGTATCGGGCGGATACACCAAATCCACTCA